ACAGACAGTAGGCTACAGAGACAGACAGACAGTAGGCTACAGAGACAGACAGTAGACTACAGAGACAGACAGTAGGCTTACAGAGCAGACAGTAGGCTACAGAGACAGACAGTAGGCTACAGAGACAGACCAGTAGACTACAGAGACAGACGTAGGCTACAGAGACAGACAGTAGACTACAGAGACAGACAGTAGGCTACAGAGACAGACAGTAGACTACAGAGACAGACAGACAGTAGGCTACAGAGACAGACAGTAGACTACAGAGACAGACAGACAGTAGGCTACAGAGACAGACAGTAGACTACAGAGACAGACAGACAGTAGGCTACAGAGACAGACAGTAGGCTACAGAGACAGACAGTAGGCTACAGAGACAGACAGTAGGCTACAGAGACAGACAGACAGTAGGCTACAGAGACAGACAGTAGGCTACAGAGACAGACAGTAGGCTACAGAGACAGACAGTAGGCTACAGAGACAGACAGTAGGCTACAGAGACAGACAGTAGACTACAGAGACAGACAGACAGTAGGCTACAGAGACAGACAGTAGACTACAGAGACAGACAGACAGTAGGCTACAGAGACAGACAGTAGGCTACAGAGACAGACAGTAGGCTACAGAGACAGACAGTAGGCTACGAGACAGACAGTAGGCTACGGAGACAGACAGTAGGCTACAGAGACAGAACAGTAGGCTACAGAGACAGACAGTAGGCTACAGAGACAGACAGTAGGCTACAGAGACAGACAGTAGGCTACAGAGACAGACAGTAGGCTACAGAGACAGACAGTAGGCTACAGAGACAGACAGTAGGCTACGGAGACAGACAGTAGGCTACAGAGACAGACAGTAGGCTACAGAGACAGACAGTAGGCTACAGAGACAGACAGTAGGCTACAGAGACAGACAGTAGACTACAGAGACAGACAGTAGGCTACAGAGACAGACAGACAGTAGGCTACGGAGACAGACAGTAGGCTACAGAGACAGGACAGTAGGTACGGAGACCAGACAGTAGGACTTACAGAGGACAGACAGTAGGCTACAGAGACAGGACAGTAGGGTAACAGAGGACAGACAGTAGGCTACAGATGACAGACAGTAGGCTAAACAGCAGACAGACAGTAGGCTACGGAGGACAGACCAGTTAGGGCTACCAGAGACCAGACAGTAGACTTACGAACAGCCAGACAGTAGCTACAGAGACAGACCAGTAGGCTACCGAGACAGACAGACAGAGGTACAGGAGACAGACAGTAGGCTACAGAACAGACAGTAGACTACAGGACAACAGTAGGTACAGAGACAGACAGACAGTGGCTACGGAGACAGACCGTAGGCTACAGAGACAGACAGTAGGCTACAGAGACAGACAGTAGGTACGAGACAGACAGTAGGTACAGAGACAGACAGTAGGCTACAGAGACAGACAGTAGGCTACAGAGACAGACAGTAGGCTAGGAGACAGACAGTAGGCTACAGAGACCAGACAGTAGGCTACAGAGACAGACAGTAGGCTACAGAGACAGACAGTAGGCTACGGAGACAGACAGTGATGTGGTGCTCAGTGGTGAGGCTGAGGCAGGAGGAATCAGAGGAGACACAGAGAGAGAGATGTTAGTACAGTGGTTCCCTAACTTGGTGTCGGGGCTCCAAATGGGGTCGCCTGAGAAAATCTTGAATAATCTTATCAAACAAGTTAGGAACTTAAACAAAATAAGATATGTCCGACATTAAAATGCAATCAACATGCAAAAAAAATACAATTCTAAAAATGTCCTACGTTTTCATTTATATCAGTGGTTGTTCGTCTTATCCATGACCAACCTTCTCACCACTACATCACTGATATTAATACAGAATCATAAGTAATATTCAAATAATTCATGTGAATGTGATAATACGATCATCTGTGTTCTTCATTGATGTCTGTTTGTGGTTCGGAGATTGATTAGTAATGCCTAGGAATGCAAACGCTATGTAATTTGAGAAAATATATACACTACCAGTCAAAAGTTTGGACACCTACTCATTCAAGGGTTTTTCTTTATTTTGACTATTTTCTACATTGTAGAATAATAGTGAAGACATCAACACTATGAAATAACACATATGGAATCATGTAGTAACCCAAAAAGTGTTAAACAAATCAAAATATATTTTATATTTTAGATTCTTCAAATATACACCCTTTGCCTTGATGACAGCTTTGCACACTCTTGGCATTCTCTCAACCAGATTCACCTGGAATGATTTTCCAACAGTCTTGAAGGAGTTCCCACATATGCTGAGCACTTGTTGGCTGCTTTTCCTTCACTCTGCGGTCAAACTCATCCCAAACCATCTCAATTTGGTTGAGGTTGGGTGATTGTGGAGGCCAGGTCATCTGATGCAGCACTCCATCACTCTCCTTCTTGGTCAAATAGCCCTTATACAGCCTGGAGGTGTGTTGGGTCATTGTCCTGTTGAAAAACAAATGATAGTCCCACTAAGCCCAAACCAGATGGGATGGCGTATCACTGCAGAATGCTGTGGTAGCCATGCTGGTTAAGTATTCTCCAAATAGCATTTGAAAGTTTTTTAATTGTATAGAAATTCAGTAAATGTGCTTCAACTAAATAAATAAAAATCTGAAATCTGACCTCACTAAAACTCAAACCCTAAATCTACTTTGGTTTAGATACAATCATCATGAAACCTCTAACACAATACATTCATTTGACTTGGTGAAAATCTGTTTTTTGGACTCCATGTGGTTTCTTCCTTCACAGACTCCATGAAATGATGACCTCTTCCTAAATATCAACACTATTATCCCAGAAACCCTAGACTTCTTCCTTCCATGAAATGATGACCTCTTCCTTAATATTTGGTCAAATTAATAATTTTGTTTATGTCCTAGAAAATAGGGGTGGCTCAACTAACCCTTAGACTCAACTAACCCTTAGGCTCAACTAACCCTTAGACTCAACTAACCCTTAGACTCAACTAACCCTTAGACTCAACTAACCCTTAGACTCAACTAACCCTTAGACTCAACTAACCCTTAGGCTCAACTAACCCTTAGGCTCAACTAACCCTTAGACTCAACTAACCCTTAGACTCAACTAACCCCACTCTCCCCTAAACTCTGCTTTTCACTTGGACTGGAACAGGAAGCCGGTTAAACTCATTTTGGGTGCCGGTATTGTTTATATTTAGGTGTTGGAACTTTTGAAAGTAATATTCTATTAAAGGTGCAGGAAGTCAAGCAGTAGAGAATTGAAGGTGTTCTCTTTCACGGTTCTCCACTGGGTTCAGAGGATCTGGAAATGTCTTGGACTCCTGGCTGAACAATAGACTTCCCTGAAGGACTATAACGTTTGAATTGAGGAGGAGGAAGAGGGTGAGGAGGAGCAGGAGGAAGAGGAGGAAGAGGAGGAGGAGGGACCAGGAGGAGGAGGAGGGTGAGGAGGAAGAGGAGGAGGATCAGGAGGAAGAGGAGGATGATCAGGAGGAAGACGAGGAAGAGGAGGATGATCAGGAGAAGAGGAGGAAGAGGAGGAGGGACCAGGAGGAAGAGGAGGGTGAGCAGGAGGAAGAGGAGGAAGAGGAGGAGGAGGGACCAGGAGGAAGAGGAGGGTGAGCAGGAGGAAGAGGAGGAAGAGGAGGACTAGGGTTAGGGTTAGGAGGACTAGGGGGGTAACTTTGAGTCTTGACGAAGGTGACTCTGATCCAAAGGGTCAGTCTGAGACAGCAGGTCAGAGTTCCTGTCTTCAGAGGGTCAGTCGGAGACGGCAGGTCAGAGTTTCTGTCTTCAGAGGGTCAGTCGGAGACGGCAGGTCAGAGTTCCTGTCTTCAGAGGGTCAGTCAGAGACGGCAGGTCAGAGTTCCTGTCTTCAGAGGGTCAGTCGGAGACGGCAGGTCAGAGTTCCTGTCTTCAGAGGGTCAGTCGGAGACGGCAGGTCAGAGTTCCTGTCTTCAGAGGGTCAGTCGGAGACGGCAGGTCAGAGTTTCTGTCTTCAGAGGGTCAATCAGAGACGGCAGGTCAGAGTTTCTGTCTTCAGAGGGTCAGTCTGAGACGGCAGGTCAGAGTTCCTGTCTTCAGAGGGTCAGTCGGAGACGGCAGGTCAGAGTTCCTGTCTTCAGAGGGTCAGTCGGAGACGGCAGGTCAGAGTTCCTGTCTTCAGAGGGTCAGTCTGAGACGGCAGGTCAGAGTTTCTGTCTTCAGAGGGTCAGTCAGAGACGGCAGGTCAGAGTTCCTGTCTTCAGAGGGTCAGTCGGAGACGGCAGGTCAGAGTTTCTGTCTTCAGAGGGTCAGTCGGAGACGGCAGGTCAGAGTTTCTGTCTTCAGAGGGTCAGTCGGAGACGGCAGGTCAGAGTTTCTGTCTTCAGAGGGTCAGTCGGAGACGGCAGGTCAGAGTTCCTGTCTTCAGAGGGTCAGTCGGAGACGACAGGTCAGAGTTTCTGTCTTCAGAGGGTCAGTCGGAGACGGCAGGTCAGAGTTCCTGTCTTCAGAGGGTCAGTCGGAGACGGCAGGTCAGAGTTCCTGTCTTCAGAGGGTCAGTCGGAGACGGCAGGTCAGAGTTTCTGTCTTCAGAGGGTCAGTCGGAGACGACAGGTCAGAGGGTTCTTTGTCACAACAGCAGCAGCATTACAAGAGGAAGCAGGTAATAGTGAAACTATAAACAACATCTCCATAACAGCACAGTAGTCAGAACACAAAGTGTGTGTTCCCAATGGCACCCTATTCCCTAGAGCTCTATGGGCCCTGGTCTAAAGTAGTGCACTCAATACGGAATGGGGTGCCATTTTGGACCTATAAACACTCTGACCTCGGGAGCTCTTCCCTGTTCTCAGTCCAGTAAGAGGGAAGAGGAACCAGGAAGTCAGAGAGTGCTGAGAGAGACAGAACGACTGGGGGGAGGGGTGTTAATTATGGGAAAGCTTTGTTGTGATCATTTAGTGTTCTATGTGACTCTCCTCTTCCTCTTTCAGCTGAGCTTCTCTCAGTGTCTCTCTCTCTCTCTCCCTCCATCAGTCTATCTGTTTATCAGTCTCACCGGTCATCTCTCTCTCTCTCCGTTCATCAGTCTGTCTGTCTGTCTGTCGTTGTCTTGAGAAAGACTGACACTCTTGGAGCCTCTAAGAAGCCCACAGACATCTGAAAACTACAGACCCTCCCAGAGGCTGCCAGACGACGGCACATATCAGATGGTATGTTAATGAGAAGGATAACTATCAAGCTAACAGTAATGACTTGTATTCATGAAGCACACTGTATGTAATCTGATAGCCCAGCAATTCTAACAGTAGTAGTGTTGTTCTGATCTGTTCTGGTTCCAACTGGGGCTGAGTCTGACACAACATAATGCAGTGTGTGTGTGTGTGTGTGTGTGTGTGTGTGTGTGTGTGTGTGTGTGTGTGTGTGTGTGTGTGTGCGTAAGGCCACCTGGTGGTTGAGGTGGGGTACTGCTGCTGTGATGGTGTGCAGCATCCTGACCTCCCTTGCAACCTTTGTTGCCATGGAGCCCAGCTGTAACGCACACCTTGGTTACCCCGGATTACCTGGGATACCAGGGGCTCACGGAGCCAACGGTAAAGACGGACTCAAGGGAGGGAAGGGAGACCCAGGTAACACACACTAAGCTATGCTGTTATGGCCTGTGTAACATAGTCACTAAGCTATCCTGTTATGGCCTGTAATAATTCTCTCTGAGTGATCTGTGTAACATAGACACTAAGCTATGCTGTTATGGCCTGTGTAACATAGACACTAAGCTATCCTGTTATGGCCTGTAATGAGCAGTCTGTGTTGCCTGTGCAGGTGAGTCTGTTTGGGGAGGGAAGGGCCTGAAGGGGGAGCCAGGTGAATCAGGTCCTCCAGGACGGTCAGGTCTTCAGGGGGACCCCGGTCAGCTTGGACCCAAAGGACCCGCTGGCCTCCCCGGGGAGAAAGGCAGTCCCTCTGGGGTCAACAGCGCTGTCACCTCCTTCTTCTCCTACAAGGTAAACAACACCTCTTCCTCCTATCTACAAGGTAAAACCAAACAACCCTCTTCATCCATAATACATAAACAACAACACCTCTTCCCCCATAATCCCAGGTAACAACAACACCTCTTCATCCTATAATACAGGTAAACAACAACACCTCTTCATCTATAATACTAGGTAACAACACACCTCTTCTCCTATAATACTAGGTAAACAACAACCTCTCCTCCTATATAAAGGTATAACAACAAACAACCTCTTCTCCTCCTAAATACTAGGTAAACAACAACACCTCTTCTCCTATACTACAAGTAAACAACACCTCTTCATCCTATAATACAGTCACAACAGACTCTTCCTCCTATATACTAGGTCACAACACCTCTTTCCTCCTAAATACTAGTAACCACACTCTTTCCTCCTATAATACAAAGGTAACAACAACACCTCTTCATCTAAATAACACACAGAGTAAACTAGTACACAACACCTCTTCATCCTAATTACACAGGTAACACAACACCCTTCCCCTTAATACAGGTAACAACAACACCCTCTTCACCTATAATACAAGGTAACAACACACCTCTTCCTCCTATAATACTAGGTAAACAACCAACCCTCTTCCCCTATAACAAGGGTACAACAACACCTCTTCCTCCTATAATACTAGGTAACAACAACACCTCTTCTCCTATAATACAAGGAAACAAACACCTCTTCATCTATAAACAAGGTAAAAAACAACACCTCTTCATCCTATAATACTAGGTAAACAACAACACCTCTTCCTCCAAATACTAGGTAAAACAACACCTCTCCTCCTTATAATACAGGTAACAACAACACCTCTTCATCCAAAATACAAGTAAACAACAACCCTCTTCCTCCTATAATACAGGTAAACAACAACACACCTCTTCCTCCTATAATACTAGGTAAAAACAACAACCTCTTCCTCCATAATACTAGGTAAACAACACACCTCTTCCTCCTATAATACAGGTAACACAACACCTCTTCATCTATAATACAGGTAAACAACAACACCTCTTCTCCTATAATACAAAGTAAACAACCCACCTCTCTCCTCATGAATACTAGGTAAACAACACACCTCTTCCATCCTATAATACAAGGTAACAACAACACCTCTTCCTCCTATAATACAGGTAAACACACCCCTCTCCTATAATACAGGTAAACACAACACTCTTCCTCCTATAATCCTAGGTAAACACAACACCTCTTCCTCCTATAATACAACGTAAACAACAACACCTCTTCCTCCTAAATACTAGGTAAACAACCACACCTCTTCCTCCTATAATACTAGGTAACCACCACACCTCTTCCTCCTGTAATACTAGGTAAACAACACCTCTTCCTCCTATAATACAAGGTAAACAACAACACCTCTTCCTCCTATAATACAAGGTAAACAACAACACCTCTTCATCCTATAATACAAGGTAAACAACAACACCTCTTCCTCCTATAATACAAGGTAAACAACAACACCTCTTCCTCCTATAATACAAGGTAAACAACAACACCTCTTCCTCCTATAATACAAGGTACCAACAACCTCTTCATCCTATAATACAAGGTAAACAACAACACCTCTTCATCCTATAATACAAGGTAACAACAACACCTCTTCCTCCTATAATACTAGGTAAACAACACCTCTTCCTCCTATAATACAAGGTAAACAACAACACCTCTTCCTCCTATAATACTAGGTAAACAACAACACCTCTTCATCCTATAATACAAGGTAAACAACAACACCTCTTCATCCTATAATACAAGGTAAACAACAACACCTCTTCATCCTATAATACTAGGTAAACAACAACACCTCTTCCTCCTATAATACTAGGTAAACAACAACACCTCTTCCTCCTATAATACTAGGTAAACAACAACACCTCTTCATCATATAATACAAGGTAAACAACAACACCTCTTCCTCCTATAATAATAGGTAAACAACACCACTTCCTCCTATAATACTAGGTAAACAACAACACCTATTCCTCCTATAATACTAGGTAAACAACAACACCTCTTCCTCCTATAATACAACGTAAACAACAACACCTCTTCCTCCTATAATACTAGGTAAACAACAACACCTCTTCCTCCTATAATACTAGGTAAACAACACCACCTCTTCCTCCTGTAATACTAGGTAAACAACACCTCTTCCTCCTATAATACAAGGTAAACAACAACACCTCTTCCTCCTATAATACAAGGTAAACAACAACACCTCTTCATCCTATAATACAAGGTAAACAACAACACCTCTTCCTCCTATAATACAAGGTAAACAACAACACCTCTTCCTCCTATAATACAAGGTAAACAACAACACCTCTTCCTCCTATAATACAGGTAAACAACAACACCTCTTCCTCCTATAATACAAGTAAAACAACAACCTCTTCCTCCTATAATACAAGGTAAACAACAACACCTCTTCATCCTATAATACAAGGTAAACAACAACACCTCTTCCTCCTATAATACAAGGTAAACAACAACACCTCTTCATCCTATAATACAAGGTAAACAACAACTCTTCCTCCTATAAATACAAGGTAACACAACAACACCTCTTCCTCCTATAATACAAGGTAAACAACAAACACCTCTTCTCCTATAATACAAGGTAAACAACAACACCTCTTCCTCCTATAATACAAGGTAAACAACAACACCTCTTCATCCTATAATACAAGGTAAACAACAACACCTCTTCCTCCTATAATACAAGGTAAACAACAACACCTCTTCATCCTATAATACAAGGTAAACAACAACACCTCTTCCTCCTATAATACAAGGTAAACAACAACACCTCTTCATCCAGCGGTCAAACAGGGAAATGGTTACAATCGTTTTTCCACCATTCATTTTTCCCATAAGGGATTTTAGAAACACTTCAAATAAGGGCTGTGTTTCATGTAGGTTTGCCCTGGCGTGACGTTTTGATAACCGTGTAAATCTCTTTAGGACAAGGTGACTTTTATCAATATATTCGACTCTATTTACTCTCAGATTCAAAAATGCTAATTAGCATCAAAGTAGACATCATGCAAAACTACAAATCCCTGCAAGCTCCTGCACGTCATCTCTAGCTAACACCTTTGCTAACAGGGATTGTGTCAATAAAAAATTTGCCCAAGATAGGTCACAGAATTGTCCATTTAAAGAAATATAGCCTATTTATTCATTACTACATTTAGTTAACATTAGATAGTTAATCCAGAGATTCTTGCCTCGATTCGGCAGTCTCGTCTTCTCGTCCAGATCATCATGGCATGTAGTTCTTTATTAGCAGCTAATTAGCATTTCATTTCTGGGGGGTAAATACAGGCGAATATATTGATACAAGTCACCTTGTCCGAGAGAGATTTACATGGTTATCAAAAATCCCCTATGGGAAAAAACGATTGGAACCATCTCCCTGTTTGACCGCTAGGTTTTATGGGTATTATGACTCATACTGTGGTGCTCTATGAATGTTTCTCCTCTCTCTCGCTGTCCCTCCCTCTCTCCATCAGAGGAACACCATTCAGCCGCCTCCCAAGAACACGCCCATGCGTTTCGACGGACCAATCGTGTCGGGCCTTAACCCTAGCCTGCAAGGCGTTTCGCTGAGTGAAGGGGTGTTCAAGTGTTCCATTCCTGGCATGTACTTCTTTACCTACCATGTGTCGGCTAAGAGCCTGGTCTGTCTCAGCCTGAAGAAGGGGACAGAGACTAAGGTTCGTTTGATTATTTCATCTAACAGGAGACATAAACTGTGTTCAAATACCATACTAACATACTGTAGACTACATACTTAATGAGTCTATACTACATACTATATACTATTAGTTCATTTTAGTATACTGTAAACGAACGGTATCCTTTCAGTTGAGCGTACTAGCGCTTCGCCTGTCTACCGGAAGTTGATGCTGTTGCTATGCAACCTCTTTCTATATTGTTAGCGTAACAAATGACTAGCTAGACGTTTTACGATTTTCGGGTGTGTTCGTAAAGTCAATCTGGAGTGCCAGAGTGCGCAAATTCAGAGCGTTGTCAGATTGTCTGTTCGTAAATTCAGAGCGTTGTCAGATTGTCTGTTCGTAAATTCAGAGCGTTGTCAGATTGTCTGTTCGTAAATTCAGAGCGTTGTCAGATTGTCTGTTCGTAAATTCAGAGCGTTGTCAGATTGTCTGTTCGGAAATTCAGAGCGTTGTCAGATTATCTGTTCGTAAATTCAGAGCGTTGTCAGATTATCTGTTTGTAAATTCAGAGCGTTGTCAGATTATCTGTTCGTAAATTCAGAGCGTTGTCAGATTATCTGTTCGTAAATTCAGAGCGTTGTCAGATTATCTGTTCGTAAATTCAGAGCGTTGTCAGATTATCTGTTCGTAAATTCAGAGCGTTTCACTCTCAGAGCGTCCACTGTGAGGTCAGAAGGCTGGTTTGATCCGGCCTTCTGACCTCACAACGGCCGTCAAGCACCCAAGCTAATTGGCTAAATTTGGCTAGCTTGCTAGCTAGCTACTTCCAGACACAAATGAGAGAACACCTCACTCTGACCATTTTACTCGCCCTAGCAGAGCTGGTTAGGCTGTTTTCATGTTATCCAGAGCGTTGGTGACTGTAACTGTGCTGCTGGAAACAATTGAATTACGCTTGTTTTTGCTGACGTTTACTGACACCGGCCACATATTCAACGGGTGTTGAGCGTTAGTAAATCCATCAGTTATACTGCGCTCTGGAACACTCAGAAGTCGGAGTAGATAGACAGAATGAACAATGTCCATTGAGAACTCACAACGATTATACCACTTAGCTAAGAATGACGTGAATAATCAAATCAATAAACGTTGGGTAGTTAGATAGATAGCATATAGTTAATATACTGCCTGGTAAATTCGATGTATTAGTAGCCAACTAACGTTAGGACGGTAACTAGCTAACATACCGGTACATACTGCTGTAATGCTATGCGGTTCGTAAGGATAGCGTAGCTAACAAATTGTCAGCCAACATAACGTGTGACCTAATTTATTTGAAAAGTCATTACTTTATTACATTGCTGCCTATATAGCTGATGTTGTCACGCCCTGGCTCTGGGGACTCTTATACGTTGAGCCAGGGTGTTAGTTTCTATGTGTAGTGTCTATGTTTTGTGTTCTATGTTCAGTCTCTAGTTCATGTGTTTTCTATGTTGGCCGGGGTGGTTCTCAATCAGAGGCAACGTGAATCAGCTGTTGCTTGTTGTCTCTGATTGGGAACCATACTTAGGCAGCCTATTGTGCACTTGTCTTTTGTGGGATCTTGTTCCGTGTTGGTTTGTGTTATTGACCGAGGACTTCACGTATCGTTTTGTTCGTTTTGTTGTATTGTGCAAAGTACACATTAAAAGAGATGTACGCATATCACTCTGCGCCTTGGTCCACTCCTTTCGACGATCGTGACAGATGTCCACTCTAGTGTTGTCCACTCTGATGTCTATGTAGCTGCTGTCCACTCTGATGTCTATGTAGCTGCTGTCCACTCTGATGATGTCTATGTAGCTGCTGTCCACTCTGATGTCTATGTAGCTGCTGTCCACTCTGATGTCTATGTAGCTGCTGTCCACTCTGATGATGTCTATGTAGCTGCTGTCCACTCTGATGTCTATGTAGCTGCTGTCCACTCTGATGATGTCTATGTAGCTGCTGTCCACTCTGATGATGTCTATGTAGCTGCTGTCCACTCTGATGTCTATGTAGCTGCTGTCCACTCTGATGATGTCTATGTAGCTGCTGTCCACTCTGATGTCTATGTAGCTGCTGTCCACTCTGATGATGTCTATGTAGCTGCTGTCCACTCTGATGTCTATGTAGCTGCTGTCCACTCTGATGTCTATGTAGCTGCTGTCCACTCTGATGTCTATGTAGCTGCTGTCCACTATGATGTCTATGTAGCTGCTGTCCACTCTGATGTCTATGTAGCTGCTGTCCACTCTGATGATGTCTATGTAGCTGCTGTCCACTCTGATGATGTCTATGTAGCTGCTGTCCACTCTGATGATGTCTATGTAGCTGCTGTCCACTCTGATGTCTATGTAGCTGCGTCCATCTGAGTCTGAGGGCTGCTGTAATCTGATGTCTATGTGCTGCTGTCCACTCTGATGTCTATGTAAGCTGCTGCCACTCTGAGTCTATGTAGCGCTGGTCCACTATGATGCATATGTAGCTGTGCCACTGATTTTATGTAGCTGTGTCCACTCTGATGTCTATGAGCTGCGTCCACTTCTGATGTCTAGGGTAGCTGCTGTCCACTCTGATGTCGATGTAGTGCTTTTCCATCTGATGTCTATGTAGCTGCTGTCCACTGTGTGTCTATGTAGCTGCTGTCCACTCTTGAGGTGTCTAATGTAGCTGCTGTCCACTTGATGTGTAATCCACTGGGAATAATCATAATTCATGTAAACATTACAGTTTTGAAAACATAGTTAGTTCCCCCAAAAAAAGTGGTCTCTTGGCACAACTTACCCCAGGTATGAGCTGTGGGACAGGGTAAGTTGAGCTGTGGGACAGGGTAAATTGAGCTGTGGGACAGGGATAAGGTTGAGCTGTGGGACGGGGTTTAAGTTGAGTTGAGGGACAGGGTAAGTTGAGCTGTGGGACAGGGTAAGTTGAGCTGAGGGACAGGGTAAGTTGAGCTGTGGGACAGGGTAAGTTGAGCTGAGGGACAGGGTAAGTTGAGCTGAGGGACAGGGTAAGTTGAGCTGAGGGACAGGGTAAATTGAGCTGAGGGACAGGGTAAGTTGAGCTGAGGGACAGGGTAAGTTGAGCTGTGGGACAGGGTAAGTTGAGCTGAGGGACAGGGTAAGTTGAGCTGAGGGAAGGGTAAGTTAAAGCTGAGGACAGGGTAAGTTGAGCTGAGGGACAGGGTAAGTTGAGTTGAGGGACAGGGTAAGTTGAGCTGAGGGACAGGGTAAGTTGAGCTGAGGGACAGGGTAAGTTGAGCTGAGGGACAGGGTAAGTTGAGTTGAGGGACAGGGTAAGTTGAGCTGAGGGACAGGGTAAGTTGAGCTGTGGGACAGGGTAAGTTGAGCTGAGGGACAGGGTAAGTTGAGTTGAGGGACAGGGTAAGTTGAGCTGAGGGACAGGGTAAGTTGAGCTGAGGGACAGGGTAAGTTGAGCTGTGGGACAGGGTAAATTGAGCTGAGGGACAGGGTAAGTTGAGCTGTGGGACAGGGTAAGTTGAGCTGTGGGACAGGGTAAGTTGAGCTGAGGGACAGGGTAAGTTGAGCCGCCTACAAAATTCTGTACTGAATGAAATATTACCACTACCTTTTAAAACCATGTCTATCTTTATTTCCCAAACACAATCACTTTTTGTCTTTTCATCATTTTTAACACAGGCTTAACACCTAACAAACACTTTTAACATAGTCCCTGGTGTTACCTCATAGCAACGCTTTGCATTACACCTGGTAAGAAAACACTTCAATTTGCTCAACTTGCCATTGGCTCAACCATTGGCTCAACCATTGGCTCAATTTACCCCAAGGGAAACATTTGGACTATATTAGCCCACACAGCTAAAAGGATGCACTTTCATGCTAGGTTTACAACATCATATTGACGCTTATAGAGACCCCAACTGATGTATAGAACAAGCATCATGAAATCTCCAACATAATAAAGTCATTTGACTTTGGTGAAAATCTTTTTTTTGGACCTAACGTGCTTACCACTTTTTCCATGTGGTTTCTTCCTTCACAGACTCCATGAAGTCTCCTAAATATTTGGTCAAATTATTATTTTTGTGTTTTGCTTCCTAGAAACAAGGTTGGCTCAACTTACCCCAGGCTCCTCTAAGCGCCATTTCCTACAAATGTCATGTTTTATACAAAACTGCTCAAACTTTTGCATTTCATGCCTCAGCATTTCGCTACACCCGCAATAACATCTGCTAAACATGTTCTTCTTAACTGCCGAGTTACATGCAGCTATTTCCTCTCTCCACGATATAGCAGCATAACTATGGCGTCACTATGGCACTCTTTTTACCGGTCCAGATACAAGCTCGGCTGCATATGCGAAATGTTACGTGAAGTGTTCCAAAAACACATTTTCACATGATTTCACATGTGAAATTTCACATTACACATGTGAAATCATGTGGTTCAACATGTGATAACATGAAAACTACACTGTTAGCCATTGCTGTTCATTTTGTGGTTAATTTTAGTCATTATACGGTACATTTCTAATAATAGGATACTGTATTAGTGTTTCGCTATATATCTAATGTTGAACTCTGAAGTTTACATACACTTAGGTTGGAGTCATTAAAACTCGTTTTTCAACCACTCCACAAATTTCTTGTTAACAAACTATCGTTTTGGCAAGTCGGTTAGGACATCTACTTTGTGCATGACACAAGTAATTTTTCCAACAATTGTTTACAGACAGATTATTTCACTTATAATTCACTGTATCACAATTCCAGTGGGTCAGAAGTTTACATACACTAAGTTGACTGTGCCTTTGACGCTTGGAAAATTCCAGAAAACAGCTTGGAAAATTCCAGAAAACAGCTTGGAAAACAGCTTGGAAAATTCCAGAAAATGATGTCATGGCTTTAGAAGCTTCTGATAGGCTAATTGACATCATTTGAGTCAATTTGAGGTGTACCTGTGGATTTATTTCAAGGCCTCCCTTCAAACTCAGTGCCTCTTTGCTTGACATCATGGGAAAATCAAAAGAAATCAGCCAAGACCTCAGAAAAGAAATTGTAGACCTCCACAAGTCTGGTTCATCCTTGGGAGCAATTTCCAAACGCCTGAGTTTCACATTCATCTGTACAAACAATAGTACGCAAGTATAAACACCATTGGACCACGCAGCCATCATACCGCTCAGGAATGAGACGCGTTCTGTCTCCTAGAAATGAACATACTTTGGTGCGAAAAGTGCAAATCAATCCCAGAACAACAGCAAAGGACCTTGTGAAGATGCTGGAGGAAAAGGGTACAAAAGTATCTATATCCACAGTAAAACAAGTCCTATATCGACATAACCTGAAAGGCCGCTCAGCAAGGAAGAAGCCACTGCTCCAAAACCGCCATAAAACCGCCAGACTACGGTTTGCAACTGGTACAATCATTACTGCACTTTGAAATGTAGGTGGGGGCAATGTGCTGGTGGAGTATTTGTGCCAACCGTCAGTGGAAATGTTGTACCAGTTTAAGTGGTTTTTATTGTTATGTGGATGAAGGTTGAGCACCCATTTTGACATTTGTCAGTTCTGCAATCTTTGTCAGAACATGTGACAATCAAGAGCTGCACTGTTAAGAGGTTACTGTGCATCTTCCATTAGCTTAATGGCAGCTGGTTCACAGGAAGTTGGTTTAATTTTAAATAATTTACTGTCAACTAGTTACAAATGGGTTATTGTAAAATTTTGCAACTAATCCATCACAAGTACTGACATGATGGACTGGTAGGAAAGTTAGTATTACAAATACATGGTGACTAGATATAAATGAAAGACTTTATGGTTCTTTGGTATCACATGTATACATGTCAGCCTTCAACAAGGCTGCCAAACTGACCCCGTGAATAGTTGATGTTCATGAACAGACCAGATTAACTGGGATGACATTCCCTCTTATGGGACACCAAAAAGAGCTAGCTGAAAGCCACACCTCCAATAAGCCACACCTCCAATAAGCCACACCTGCAATCTTCTGATATGCCGCTGCTTTTACAGTATGCTGCCAATCAGCAAGTGACGTGCATGTCAACAGAAGAATCATTGAAGGCACAGTAGGTTACTGGTAGTGACGGGGAAACAGAGGTTACTGGTAGTGAGGGGGAAACAGAGGTTACTGGTAGTGACGGGGAAACAGAGGTTACTGGTAGTGACGGGGAAACAGAGGTTACTGGTAGTGACGGGGAAACAGAGGTTACTGGTAGTGACGGGGAAACAGAGGTTACTGGTAGTGACGGGGAAACAGAGGTTACTGGTAGTGACGGGGAAACAGAGGTTACTGGTAGTGACGGGGAAACAGAGGTTACTGGTAGTGACGGGGAAACAGAGGTTACTGGTAGTGACGGGGAAACAGTGGTTACTGGTAGTGACGGGGAAACAGAGGTTACTGGTAGTGACGGGGAAACAGAGGTTACTGGTAGTGACGGGGAAACAGAGGTTACTGGTAGTGACGGGGAAACAGAGGTTACTGGTAGTGACGGGGAAACAGAGGTTACTGGTAGTGACGGGGAAACAGAGGTTACTGGTAGTGACGGGGAAACAGAGGTTACTGGTAGTGACGGGGAAACAGAGGTTACTGGTAGTGACCTGTAGGTTACTTACTGACAAGTAGTTTCCAGTTAACAAATTACAAATTCACAGCAACAAGTTGCCATTCAGTTTCTGTAAAACGCACAACAATCTCTTCACAGTGCAGCTCATTACTGACTCATTATCTTACAAAGTTCGCAGAACAGACCGTGTCGAAAGAGGTTGTCTATTTTTCCATTGGCATAACCATCAAACACTTAAACTGGTACAACACTTACACTGACTGACCACACCTCAGAATGTGCTAATGAGTCCCCCCAGTACATTGCCCCCAGTACATCAGTGATGATCGTACCTTATATTCAAAACATTGGACAAATGTCCCATTATACCTACAAGGCACCGAACTGTACCACGTGAGTTCATTTGTGTAACTGTGAATTGTACCCTTTGACCTTTTTGAACTGTACCCTAACCATACCCTTACTGTTAGAGTGTGTTAATACATGTTCCAAGCAATAAGTCTGAACCTGGTGGCACTGCAGGAACATTGATGCACACAACCAAGAGGTTGCAAGTTCAAATCTCAGAAGAACGCATGTATACTCTGCATCAAGTGTCTTTGAGCACTGCTAGTTTGAAGTTGTTGGTGATAATTGGACAATTGTTTACTTGATTCTGGGCAGCTTTTATCGAAATGCATTCTTGCCAATAGGTCTGTGGCCATATCTGTTTCACGTTCACAGACCTGGTGATTTAGCTGTACTGTAGCAGGACATTTCAGGTTGCTGGTGCCCAAGAGGTTCTGAGTTCAAATCCCATTCAAAGTCCCAAGGTTGGTCATAGTACAAAGTTATGATTAAGATTTTTTTTTTTTTTATATACAGTGAGGGAAAAAAGTATTTGATCCCCTGCTGATTTTGTACGTTTGCCCACTGACAAAGAAATGATCAGTCTATAATTTTAATGGTAGGTTTATTTGAATAGTGAGAGACAGAATAACAACAACAAAAATCCAGATAAACGCATGTCAAAAATGTTATAAATTGATTTGCATTTTAATGAGGGAAATAAGTATTTGACCCCTCTGCAAAACATGACTAAGTACTTGGTGGCAAAACCCTTGTTGGCAATCACAGAGGTCAGACGTTTCTTGTAGTTGGCCACCAGGTTTGCACACATCTCAGGAGGGATTTTGTCCCACTCCTCTTTGCAGATCTTCTCCAAGTCATTAAGGTTTCGAGGCTGACATTTGGCAACTCAAACCTTCAGCTCCCTCCACAGATTTTCTATGGGATTAAGGTCTGGAGACTGGCTAGGCCACTCCAGGACCTTAATGTGCTTCTTCTTGAGCCACTCCTTTGTTGCCTTGGCCGTGTGTTTTGGGTCATTGTCATGCTGGAATAACCATCCACGACCCATTTTCAATGCCCTGGCTGAGGGAAGTAGGTTCTCACCCAAGATCTGACGGTACATGGCCCCGTCCATCGTCCCTTTGATGCGGTGAAGTTGTCCTGTCCCCTTAGCAGAAAAACACCCCCAAAGCATAATGTTTCCACCTCCATGTTTGACAGTGGGGGTGGTGTTCTTGGGGTCATAGGCAGCATTCCTCCTCCTCCAAACACGGCGAGTTGAGTTGATGCCAAAGAGCTCCATTTTGGTCTCATCCTACCGATGATATCGTTTACCAAGATTATACATTTTTTAAACATTTTTTGTTATTTTGTATGTTTTTTAAATAATAATAATATGCCATTTAGCAGACGCTTTTATCCAAAGCGACTTACATTCATGTGTGCATACATTTTTGTGTATAGGTGGTCCCGGGGATCGAACCCACTACCCTAGCGTTACAAGCGCCATGCTCTACCAGCTGAGCTACAGAGGACCACAAATCAATTTTTGATTCATTTATCAATGAGTATATTTGAGTTTAACCCCAATATTTTTTGCATTATTTGTTCTGTCATTTCTGGAGGATTAAATTGAAATTGCAACCAACTTTCTATGGCTTGTTTTAGAAAAAGTGATATTTGGGAGATTATTTCCTTTTCAAATAACTGAAAGTGAGAGGTTGTGATCTGAATAAAGGGAAAAAGGCCATTCTTGTGATAAAGATTGTTGTTCTTGTTGTTGTGAAGGTGGAGTTCTGTGATTCGTCGAGTGGTTTCCTGGTGACGTCTGGGTCAGTGGTGCTGGAGCTGAAGGAGGGGGAGGAGGTGTCTCTACAGCCCACTGAAAACAATGCTGTCATCACTAAAGACGATCGAGCTGACAACACCTTCACCGGCCTTCTGCTCTTCCCAACTCATTGAACCACATGAAACCACACAGAACCACATTGAATCTGCTCAAAACAGATTTAACCAGATCTAATCTCGGTTACCCAGAAGTAACATTTTCGCCAAAGTTTGTCACTTCCTGTTTTACTTCAATTTTAACTTTGTAGGTGTGGTATCTAGCGGAAACCATTTATCATCCGCACACAGGTTTGAAATCTCAGCCCCAGTTTAAACACCGCTTTCGAACAATCCTGATTATTTCAAATAATGAATGATGAAAACCCCAAACCAGAAACTACTGCTGCTCCTAATCACATAATTCTACGTGAGCCTGGACAGATTGTCGCCATTTACACGCAGAATCTGTCCACGAGAGATTAAACCAGATCACACCTGCTGAAACCAGCTTCCTGCTCTTCCACACCACATAAAATACATATCATAGCCACATCATTCTGTTCTAGAAGCATCTGCAGAACAACCAACCATCTCTTTATCTGTTTCTGCCTCCCTGTCTATACTGCTGCTGCTTGCTGAGGCAGTTAATCAATCAATCAATCAATTCATTTTCCCAGGTCGTTGTTGTAAATGAGAATGTATTCTCAGTCAACTCACCAGGTAAAATAAGCAATAAATATCAAATAATCAATCATGTATTGTATCTGCTGAGCTGCTTACCAAAACTAAAATATACCATTTTGGAAATGAGTTTTCAATCAATAAAGTGATTTGTTAACAGTTTTTTTTAATCAACAGTATACATTGTTTGTGGAAGACGTTGAGGCTGTCTACACTGTAAACTTACATGTGACTTCTGCTATCAGAATACGAGGATCGCTTTGAAAAGACGGGTCTAGACGCACAGAGGGGTCATTATGGTCAGATTGTGTTCAGATCTGTCTGACCACCACAGATGGCCGGGGGGGGATGGGCTCATAGTAACAGAAAGAATGGTTTCCATGTGTTTGATACCATTCCATTCAGTCCGTTCCAGCCATTATTATGAGCCGTCCTCCCCTCAGCAGCCTCCTGTGCTGGCCACATCAGGTGGTGGTCAGGGATGCATTGTGTGCGGATTTCTCCTCAGTCTGGATGCAATCAGGCTACCGAAAGCACATACAGTGGGCGACGCCATCAGCACTCCTCCCACAAGTCTTCAGAAAACGTGTGTTTTGGGAGCGAGAGGCACCTTTTCATTATAACGTTGTAGGAAATGCGTTCCTAGCGTGTGAGGAACGTGTTTGCTGGCTTCCTAAATGCTAGCTAGCTAGCTAGCTTATTTAGAAAACTATTTTTTGTTTGGCTAGAGTTATGCTAACCCGTTTGTAATCCCTTTAGCGTTGCTAGCTACACTACATGACCAAAAGTATGTGGACATCTGCTAGTCGAACATCTCATTCCAAAATCATGGGCATTAATATGGTGTTGGTCCCCCTTTGCTGCTATAACAGCCTCCACTCTTCTGGGAAGGCTTTCCACTAGATGTTGGAACATTGCTGCGGGGACTTGCTTCCATTCAGCCACAAGAGCATTAGTGAGGTCGGGCGCTGATGTTGGGCGATTAGGCCTGGCTCGCAGTCGGCGTTCCAATTCATCCCAAAGGTGTTCGATGGGGTTGAGGTCAGGGCTCTGTGCAGGCCAGTCAAGTTCTTCCCCACCGATCTCGACAAACCATTTCTGTATGGACCTCGCTTTGTGCACGGGGGCATAGTCATGCTGAAACAGGAAACTGTTGCCACAAAGTTGGAAGCACAGAATCGTCTAGAATTTCATTGTATGCTGTAGCGTTAAGATTCTCCTGGCATCCGCCAAACCCAGATTTGTCCGTTGGACTGCCAGATGGTGAAGCGTGATTCATCACTCCAGAGAACATGTTTCCACTGCTCCAGAGTGCAATGGCGGTGAGCTTTACACCACTCCAGCCGACGCTTGGCATTGCTCATGGTGATCTTAGGCTTGTGTGCGGCTGCTCGGCCATGGAAACCCATTTCATGAAGCTCCCGACGAACAGTTCTTGTGCTGACATTGCTTCCAGAGGCAGTTTGGAACTCGGTAGTGAGTGTTGAATCCACTAATATGAAGGGGTGTCCACATACTTCTGTATATATAGTGTATCTCTATTAGAATCCACTAATATGAAGGGGTGTCCACATACTGCTGTATATATAGTGCATCTCTATTAGAATCCACTAATATGAAGGGGTGTCCACATACTGCTGTATATATAGTGTAGCTTTCTGGTTAGCTACAGAGGTTAGCTGGTTAGTTAGCTACAGTAGTAAGCTGCTGTCATCAGGTTGTTGTTGCGTAATCATATTTAGCCTATTCCACCATTAATGCATACTGGCATTTTAATATATCGCTGGAAAAGGGGATTCAGCACGGTAAACACATTTAAATGTAGGTGTAGATGCATGATGTGTTCAGAATTTGCATGATCAGAATACTAAAGCTGTATGAACTGTCAAGTCTAGACAGGGCCTTAGATGAAAAGCTGTCATACTGAACACCAGACCACAAACAGAACCCAGTGGTGACACCAACAGAACCCTGTGGTGACAACTGACACACAAACAGAACCCAACAGAACCATCTGGTGACAACTGACACACATTGGTAATGCTACAGAGCATCAATACCGTGATGTATCGTGGCTAAATTCTGACCGATCTTCAAATAATATTGAGTAGTTAATAGGGCTGTCAATCAATTACAATATTTAAAGAGTTTAAAGGCATTAGTTAATCATGATTAATCACAATCTTTGAATTAGCTCAGATTTGGCCCTAAATAAAGAATTGATCTGTTTTGGTACCATGCTGTAGCAGCTGGTTGAGATGCCCAGGTACAGTTGAAGTCGGAAGTTTACATACACTTAGGTTGGAGTCATTAAAACTTGTTTTTCAACCACTCCAAAAACTATAGTTTGGGCAAGTCGGTTAGGACATCTACTTTGTGCATGACACAAGTAATTTTTCCAACAATTGTTTACAGACAGATTCTTTCACTTATAATTCACTGTATCACAATTCCAGTGGGTCAGAAGTTTACATACACTAAGTTGACTGTGCCTTTAAACAGCATGGAAAATTCCAGAAAATGATATCATGGCTTTGAAAGCTTCTGATAGGCTAATTGACATAATTTGAGTCAATTGGAGGAGTACCTGTGGATGTATTTCAAGGCCTACCTTCAAACTCAGTGCCTCTTTGCTTGACATCATGGGAAAATCAAAAGAAATCAGCCAAGACTTCAGGAAAAAAATTGTAGACCTCCACAAGTCTGGTTGAGCCTTAGGAGCAATTTCCAAACGCCTGAAGGTACCACGTTCATCTGTACAAACAATAGTACGCAAGTATAAACACCATGGGACCACGCAGCTCTCATACCGCTCAGGAAGGAGACGCGTTCTGTCTCCTAGAGATGAACGTACTTTGGTGCGAAAAGTGCAAATCAATCCCAGAACAACAGCAAAGGACCTTGTGAAGATGCTGGAGGAAACAGGTCCAAAAGTATCTATATCCACAGTAAAACGAGTCCTATATCGACATAACTTGAAAGGCCGCTCAGCAAGGAAGAAGCCACTGCTCCAAAACCGCCATAAAAAAGCCAGACTATGGTTTGCAGTAATTTTTGGAGAAATGTCTTCTGGTCTGATGAAACAAAAATAGAACTGTTTAGCCATAATGACCATCGTTATGTTTGGAGGAAAAAGGGGGTGGCTTGCAAGCCGAAGAACACCATCCCAACCGTGAAGCACGGGGGTGGCAGCATCATGCCCCCCTGTAGCGCACTTGCAACGCCAGGGTTGTGGGTTCGTTTCCCACGGGGCCAGTATGAAAAATGTATGCCCTCACTAACTGTAAGTCGCTCTGTATAAGTTAAGATAAATGTAAATCATGCTGTGGGGGTGCTTTGCTGCAGGAGGGACTGGTGCACTTCTCAAAATAGATGGCATCATGAGGAAGGAAAATTATGTGGATATATTGAAGCAACATCTCAAGACATCAGTCAGGAAGTTAAAGCTTGGTCGCAAATGGGTCTTTCGTTTGCATACTTCCAAAGTTGTAGCAAAATGGCTTAAGGACAACAAAGTCAAGGTATTGGAGTGGCCATCACAAAGCCCTGACCTCAATCCTATAGAAAATGTGTGGGCAGAACTGAAAAAGCGTGTGCGAGCAAGGAGGCCTACAAACCTGACTCAGTTACACCAGCTCTGTCAGGAGGAATGGGCCAAAATTCACCCAACTTATTGTGGGAAGCTTGTGGAAGGCTACCCGAAACGTTTGACCCAAGTTAAACAATTTAAAGGCAATGCTACCAAATACTAATTGAGTGTATGTAAACTTCTGACCCACTGGGAATGTGATTAAATAAATAAAAGCTGAAATAAATCATTCTCTCTACTATTATTCTGACATTTCACATTCTTAAAATAAAGTGGTGATCCTAACTGACCTAAGACAGGGAATTTTTACTAGGATGAAATGTCAGGAATTGTGAAAAACTGAGTTTAAATGTATTTGGCTAAGGTGTATGTAAACTTCCGGCTTCAACTGTACTCTGTGTGACTGTGTAAGGGCCTTTATCTGCGGTGCCGCTGGCTGTCATCTCACAGTCTGCTTTTAACATTCAGTTATATAATGAGGAACCAGAGTTCTGCGGTGCCGCTGGCTGTCATCTCACAGTCTGCTATTAACATTCAGTTATATAATGAGGAACCAGAGTTACAAAACCCAGTGTTTAATAAAGCAGAGAAAACAGGACACATCGTTGACTTCCTTTATACAGGACAGGACAGTCCCCTGTAGCTCAGTGGGTAGAGCATGGCGCTTGCAACGCCAGGGTTGTGGGTTCGTTTCCCATGGGGGGCCAGTATGAAAATGTATGCACTCACTAACTGTAAGTCGCTCTGGATAAGAGCTTCTGGTAAATGACTAAAATGTAAATGTACAGTGTGTGTAGAGTACAGTAGAGCCTGTTGGTTGAAGCAGTCTTATGTTGTAGATGTTCTCTTAACAGCCAGTCAGTCAGCCAGCCAGCCACCCAGTCAGTCAGTCACCCACCCAGCCAGCCACCCAGTCAGCCAGCCAGTCACCCAGCCAGCCAGCCAGTCACCCAGCCAGCCAGTCAGTCAGCCAGCCAGCCAGTCAGCCAGCCATCTCTCTCTCTCCTCATCTCTACATATCTTCCACGCTCCACTTGTAGGCCATCTCCTGCACAGCCTTCTTATCAGACATCCTGGTGTAGCGTTTCTGTTCAAAACCATTAGACCTGAAACACGATACAAGCAAAACAACTACAAATTATAGTCATTATATATTATAATGTGCATTCTAATTGTATATTATAATGATAATGTTCACTCTAATTATATATTATAATGATAATGTTGATTCTAATGATATATTATGCTAATTCTAATTCTATATTATAATGATAAAGCTAATTATATATTATAATGATGATGTTAACTATAATGATAATGATATATCAATGTGGTGCTCTACACACAGCGAGATGTACCTGTCCACTCCGTCCCAACGGTAGCCTGGTGGAATGTTGAAGCGGTTTGGGGGCGGAGCCGGGCCTTTGTAGCGAGGCTTCTCTGTAAACAACAACAGGAAGTGTTAAGAGAGATTCATTGTGATTGGAGGGTTGGAACATGTGGTACATCACAAGTACAACCTTAGCATTTGTTTAGAAAACATAACGGATCTACTGTTTACATTTTCAAATAACTGCAGTTCTTCTGGTCTACAAATTGCTTTTGTCTGAAAAAATCTGTCCCCAAAATAAATAAATCTGTGAACTTTGCTGAACGTTGAAATCCCGATGTGACCAACAATATCCCCCCCCCCCCCCCAAAAGACAGAGACAGACCTTTGACTCCTCGTAGTTTGTTGTCTCGGTCCTTTTTGCGTCTCATCATGGCCAACATGGGGTCTCCCTCTCTCTCCTTCTCTCTCAACATCCTGTCTAGGTCCTGGTCATCACAGGAACGCGCTAGGGGCTTCTGGGATTCCCTCAACGCATCCTCAACGTTCTGCTGCTGCATCTGGCCCTGGGCCACACTACACACACAAACACGATCATGACAGACTGACTGACCAGCTGGAAGGCTATGATCCCTTATTGATGTCACTTGTTAAATCCACTTCAAATCAGTGTAGATGAAGGGGAGGAGACAGGTTAAAGAAGGACTTTTAAGCCTTGAGACAATTGAGACATGGATTGTGTATGTGTGCCATTCAGAGGGTGAATGGGCAAGACTAAAGATTTAAAGTGCCTTTGAACGGGGTATGGTAGTAGGTGCCAAAGCGCACCGATTTGTGTCAAGAACTGCAACGCTGCTGGGTTTTTCCCACGCTCAACAGTTTACCGTGTGCATCAAGAATGGTCAAGAATGGTCCCCATCCAACCTGACAGAGCTTGAGAGGATCTGCAGAGAAGAATGGGAGAAACTCCCCAAATGCAGGTGTGCCAAGCTTGTAGCGTCATACCCAAGAAGACTCGAGGCTGTAATCGCTGCCAAAGGTGGTTCAACAAAGTACTGAGTAAAGGGTCTGAATACTTATGTAAATGTGATATTTCCTTATTTTTTTATTTATATAAATTAGCTAACATTTCTAAAAACCAGTTTTTGCTTTGTTATTATGGGCTATAAAAAAAAAAAACGACTTAATTATTTTTAGAATAAGGCTGTAACCTAACAAAATGTGGAAAAGGTCAAGGGGTCTGAATACTTTCCAAAAGCATTGTATGTATACACACACAAACATCCATGTATATACTGTGGGGAGAACAAGTAAATTGATAAATTGCAATGTCCATACTGTGAGACGCCCAAGACAGCGCTACAGGGAGACAGGACGGACAGCTGATCGTCCTCGCAGTGGCAGACCACGTGTAACTACACCTGCACAGGATCGGTACATCCGAACATCACACCTGCGGGACAGGTACAGGATGGCAACAACTGCATCTGGAGCGGGATCGATTTGGAGGTGGAGGGTCCATCATGGTCTGTGGTGGTGTGTCACAGCATCATCGGACTGAGCTTGTTGTCATTGCAGGCAATCTCAACGCTGTGCGTTACAGGGAAGACATCCTCCTCCCTCATGTGGTACCCTTCCTGCAGGCTCATCCTGACATGACCCTCCAGCATGACAATGCCACCAGCCATACTGCTCGTTCTGTGCGTGATTTCCTGCAAGACAGGAATGTCAGTGTTCTGCCATGGCCAGCGAAGAGCCCGGATCTCAATCCCATTGAGCACGTCTGGGACCCGTTGGATCGGAGGGTGAGGGCTAGGGCCATTCCCCACAGAAATGTCCGGGAACTTGCAGGTGCCTTGGTGGAAGAGTGGGGTAACATCTCACAGCAGGAACTGGCAAATCTGGTGCAGTCCATGAGGAGAAGATGCACTGCAGTACTTAATGCAGCTGGTGGCCACACCAGATACTGACTGTTACTTTTGATTTTGACCCCCCCTTTGTTCAGGGACACATTATTCAATTTCTGTTAGTCACATGTCTGTGGAACTTGTTCAGTTTATGTCTCAGTTGTTGAATCTTATGTTCATACAAATATTTACACATGTTCAGTTTGCTGAAAATAAATGCAGTTGACAGTGAGAGGATGTTTCTTTTTTTGCTGAGTTTACATATCTATCTACAGTGGGGGAAAAGTATTTAGTCAGCCACCAATTGTGCAAGTTCTCCCACTTAAAAAGATAAGAGAGGCCTGTAATTTTCATCATAGGTACACGTCAACTATGACAGACAAATTGAGATCTTTCCCCCCAGAAAATCACATTGTAGGATTTTTTATGAATTTATTTGCAAATTATGGTGGAAAATAAGTATTTGGTCACCTACAAACAAGCAAGATTTCTGGCTCTCACAGACCTGTAACTTATTCTTTAAGAGGCTCCTCTGTCCTCCACTCGTTACCTGTATTAATGGCACCTGTTTGAACTTGTTATCAGTATAAAAGACACCTGTCCACAACCTCAAACAGTCACACTCCAAACTCCACTATGGCCAAGACCAAAGAGCTGTCAAAGGACACCAGAAACAAAATTGTACATTTACATTTTAGTCATTTAGCAGACGCTCTTATCCAGAGCGACTTACAGTTAGTGAATCAAACCCACAACCCTGGCGTTGCAAACGCCATGCTCTATCAACTGAGCTAAGTCCCTGCCGGCCATTCCCTCCCCTACCCTGGACGACACTGGGCCAATTGTGCGCCGCCCATGAGTCTCCCGGTCGCGGCCGGCTGCGACAGAGCCTGGATTCGAACCAGGATCTCTAGTGGCACAGTTAGCACTGCGATGCAGTGCCTTAGACCACTGCGCCACTCAGGAGGTTAGTTGTAGGTTAGTTGTAGACCTGCACCAGGCTGGGAAGACTGAATCTTCAATAGATAAGCAGCTTGGTTTGAAGAAATCAACTGTGGGAGAAATTATTAGGAAATGGAAGACATACAAGACCACTGATAATCTCCCTCGATCTGGGGCTCCACGCAAGATCTCACCCAGTGGGGTCAAAATGATCACAAGAACGGTGAGCAAAAATCCCAGAACCACACGGGGGGACCTAGTGAATGACCTACAGAGAGCTGGGACCAAAGTAACAAAGCCTACCATCAGTAACACACTACGCCGCCAGGGACTCAAATCCTGCAGTGCCAGACGTGTCCCCCTGCTTAAGCCAGTACATGTCCAGGCCCGTCTGAAGTTTGCTAGAGTGCATTTGGATGATCCAGAAGAGGATTGGGAGAATGTCATATGGTCAGATGAAACCAAAATATAACTTTTTGGTAAAAACTCAACTCGTCGTGTTTGGAGGACAAAGAATGCTGAGTTGCATCCAAAGAACACCATACCTACTGTGAAGCATGGGGGTGGAAACATCATGCTTTGGGGCTGTTTTTCTGCAAAGGGACCAGGACGACTGATCCGTGTAAAGGAAAGAATGAATGGGGCCATGTATCGTGAGATTTTGAGTGAAAACTTCCTTCCATCAGCAAGGGCATTGAAGATGAAACGTGGCTGGGTCTTTCGGCATGACAATGATCCCAAACACACCGCCCGGGCAACGAAGGAGTGGCTTCGTAAGAAGCATTTCAAGGTCCTGGAGTGGCCTAGCCAGTCTCCAGATCTCAACCCAATAGAAAATCTTTGGAGGGAGTTGAAAGTCCGTGTTGCCCAGCGACAGCCCCAAAACATCACTGCTCTAGGAGATCTGCATGGAGGAATGGGCCAAAATACCAGCAACAGTGTGTGAAAACCTTGTGAAGACTTACAGAAAAAGTTTGACCTGTGTCATTGCCAACAAAGGGTATATAACAAAGTATTGAGAAACTTTTGTTATTGACCAAATACTTATTTTCCACCATAATTTGCAAATAAATTCATTAAAAGTCCTACAATGTGATTTTCTGGATTTTTTCCCCTCATTTTGTCTGTCATAGTTGACGTGTACCTATGATGAAAATTACAGGCCTCTCTCATCTTTTTAAGTGGGAGAACTTACACAATTGGTGGCTGACTAAATACTTTTCCCCCCCACTGTATATATATCCACAGTGTCTCTCACCCTTTCCCCCACTGTATCTATCTATCTATATATACACTCATACTATACACATACACACAGAGAGAAATGCCATCCACAGTGTCTCTCACCCTTTCCCCCACTGTATCTATCTATCTATATATACACTCATACTATACACATACACACAGAGAGAAATGCCATCCACAGTGTCTCTCACCCTTTCCCCCACTGTATCTATCTATCTATATATACACTCATACTATACACATACACACAGAGAGAAATGCCATCCACAGTGTCTCTCACCCTTTCCCCCACTGAGCATATTTCAGGTCTTTCTCTGCTTTCTCTCCTGCCTTCCTCCTCTGCTCCTCTCGCTCGGTCTCGATATCTCTCCGTTTCCCACTCTTATCTCTGAACACCGTCTCCGCATTACGAGACGCATCTGGAGGAGAGAGACAGAACAGATATACCATTTAGTATTACATCTAGTGAGTGGTGCAGGTACATCAGACTAGCGCTAGCTAACAATACCTAGTGAGTGGTGCAGGTACATCAGACTAGCGCTAGCTAACAATACCTAGTGAGTGGTGCAGGTACATCAGACTAGCGCTAGCTAACACTACCTAGTGAGTGGTGCAGGTACATCAGACTAGCGCTAGCTAACAATACCTAGTGAGTGGTGCAGGTACATCAGACTAGCGCTAGCTAACACTACCTAGTGAGTGGTGCAGGTACATCAGACTAGCGCTAGCTAACACTACCTAGTGAGTGGAGCAGGTACATCAGACTAGCGCTAGCTAACACTACCTAGTGAGTGGAGCAGGTACATCAGACTAGCGCTAGCTAACATTACCTAGTGAGTGGAGCAGGTACATCAGACTAGCGCTAGCTAACATTACCTAGTGAGTGGAGCAGGTACATCAGACTAGCGCTAGCTAACAATACCTAGTGAGTGGAGCAGGTACATCAGACTAGCGCTAGCTAACACTACCTAGTGAGTGGTGCAGGTACATCAGACTAGCGCTAGCTAACATTACCTAGTGAGTGGTGCAGGTACATCAGACTAGCGCTAGCTAACATTACCTAGTGAGTGGAGCAGGTACATCAGACTAGCGCTAGCTAACATTACCTAGTGAGTGGAGCAGGTACATCAGACTAGCGCTAGCTAACAATACCTAGTGAGTGGAGCAGGTACATCAGACTAGCGCTAGCTAACACTACCTAGTGAGTGGAGCAGGTACATCAGACTAGCGCTAGCTAACAATACCTAGTGAGTGGAGCAGGTACATCAGACTAGCGCTAGCTAACACTACCTAGTGAGTGGAGCAGGTACATCAGACTAGCGCTAGCTAACAATACCTAGTGAGTGGTGCAGGTACATCAGACTAGCGCTAGCTAACACTACCTAGTGAGTGGTGCAGGTACATCAGACTAGCGCTAGCTAACATTACCTAGTGAGTGGTGCAGGTACATCAGACTAGCGCTAGCTAACATTACCTAGTGAGTGGAGCAGGTACATCAGACTAGCGCTAGCTAACAATACCTAGTGAGTGGTGCAGGTACATCAGACTAGCGCTAGCTAACATTACCTAGTGAGTGGTGCAGGTACATCAGACTAGCGCTAGCTAACATTACCTAGTGAGTGGTGCAGGTACATCAGACTAGCGCTAGCTAACACTACCTAGTGAGTGGAGCAGGTACATCAGACTAGCGCTAGCTAACATTACCTAGTGAGTGGTGCAGGTACATAAGACTAGCGCTAGCTAACACTACCTAGTGAGTGGAGCAGGTACATCAGACTAGCGCTAGCTAACACTACCTAGTGAGTGGTGCAGGTACATCAGACTAGCGCTAGCTAACACTACCTAGTGAGTGGTGCAGGTACATCAGACTAGCGCTAGCTAACATTACCTAGTGAGTGGAGCAGGTACATCAGACTAGCGCTAGCTAACACTACCTAGTGAGTGGTGCAGGTACATCAGACTAGCGCTAGCTAACACTACCTAGTGAGTGGAGCAGGTACATCAGACTAGCGCTAGCTAACAATACCTAGTGAGTGGAGCAGGTACATCAGACTAGCGCTAGCTAACATTACCTAGTGAGTGGTGCAGGTACATAAGACTAGCGCTAGCTAACACTACCTAGTGAGTGGAGCAGGTACATCAGACTAGCGCTAGCTAACACTACCTAGTGAGTGGTGCAGGTACATCAGACTAGCGCTAGCTAACACTACCTAGTGAGTGGTGCAGGTACATCAGACTAGCGCTAGCTAACATTACCTAGTGAGTGGAGCAGGTACATCAGACTAGCGCTAGCTAACACTACCTAGTGAGTGGTGCAGGTACATCAGACTAGCGCTAGCTAACACTACCTAGTGAGTGGAGCAGGTACATCAGACTAGCGCTAGCTAACACTACCTAGTGAGTGGTGCAGGTACATCAGACTAGCGCTAGCTAACATTACCTAGTGAGTGGAGCAGGTACATCAGACTAGCGCTAGCTAACACTACCTAGTGAGTGGTGCAGGTACATCAGACTAGCGCTAGCTAACACTACCTAGTGAGTGGAGCAGGTACATCAGACTAGCGCTAGCTAACACTACCTAGTGAGTGGAGCAGGTACATCAGACTAGCGCTAGCTAACACTACCTAGTGAGTGGTGCAGGTACATCAGACTAGCGCTAGCTAACAATACCTAGTGAGTGTGTGTATACATATCGATACTTGGGAGTCAAACATTGATATAATGTCGTCCAAAAATAATATCACGATATGTAACTGTATGGATTTTTCCCCCATCACTACTATATACAGTATTATAAACTGGATAGTTAGAACCCTGAATGCTGATTGGCTGAAGTCTGTGGTATATCAGACAATATACCACAATATGAAGCAAAATGACTTGTTTACTGTCCTAATTACGTTGGTAACTAGTTTATAACAGCAATAATGCACCTCAAGGGGTTTGTGGTACATGGTGTTGGGTTGTGCCTAACAGCCCTTCATTCTAGTAGCATAGAGGAAGCATTCCTAAAGGAAAGGACATGGTGTGTGTTGCACCTTCTAGCGGCTCGTTGATCTTGTCTCTGCGTCGGTTCTCCTGCTGTTCTCTTCTTAGAACCTCCACTGATACCAGTCCTGCTGCGGCCCCGGTCAGCATGCTCCGAGACTAACACACACAGAGAGGTTAGAGGTCAAGCTTCCACTAACCTTCTCTACCTAGCTACAGGGGCGTGTTCAGCAGGATTCAATGTTTCGGAACGTTCAGAAATAAATATGCTATGTAGAACAAACATGCCTCTCTGACATGTAGAATAAGGCTTTCACGTTGGCTCTATTCATGACATTTCTATCTGCAACATTCCACAACGTTTGTCAACTGAACGCAGCCCAATTCTTGAATCTCTGTGCCCCGCCCCTTCAGCTCCCCATGCTCACCTGTGATTGGTCAGGCCTGCGGGGGGGGGAGAGGTCAGCGTCTGAGCCCCTCCCACCTTGGGGTTGCCTCCTGGGCGGCGATTGGTCAGAATCAGAGTTCTGCCCTCCCCGTCGCCTTCTCCTGGGTGGTGATTGGTCAGAATCAGAGGCCCCTCCCATTTGTGGCCTTTTTCTTGGAGGTGATTGATCTGAGTCTGAGCCGGGCCCGTTCTGAGCCCGCCTCCTGGGTGGGGATTGGTCAGACCCTGGAGAGCGCTGGCCAATACGAGCAGACGACGAAGACTTGGCTTTTTTCCTGGACGGAGACGAATCTGAAAAAAAAATTGAAAAAAATTACTTCAGAACTTAACAACACCAGGAGCTTCATCAAATAACTACAGCCCACCCTGTATAGTAGGGATGTATTGATTAGGAACCAAAAGAACCAAACAGAATGAAACGGGGAGGGACCCACCAGAATTTGTCCAATAGGAACTTGTTTCATCAGAAAACAATTTCCATTTGGAGTAAACGGTTTCCGTTGCAAAACTGTTTGCTACTAAATGAATACACCCCAGGGTTATAGAGTTTTTTTGGGGAATGGATGGAAACCTGGACTGTATTCAATAGTCGCACACTGTAGCAAAACTTTTTGCAACAGAAACCGTTTACTCCAAACGGAGAAAAAAAAATTCAGCTAAAATGTGTTTCTATTGGACAAATTCAGGTAGGTCCCTCCCAGTTTCGTTTCGCTTCAGTTTGGTTCCAAGTGAACGAACTGCAAAAATCTCTGAAGCTGGAGACTCTTATCTCTCTCACTAACTTTAAGCATCAGTTGTCAGAGCACCTTACCGATCACTGCACCTGTACACAGCCCATCTGTAATTAGCCCACCCAACTACCTCATCCCCATATTGTTATTTATTTTGCTCTTTTGCACCCCAGTATCTCTATTTGCACATCATCTTCTGCACATCTATCACTCCAGTGTTAATACTAAATTGTAATTATTTTGCACTATAGCCTATTTATTGCCTTACCTCCATAACTTGCTACATTTGCACACACTGTATATATATATTTTCTGTTGTATTTTTGACTTTATGTTTTGTTTACCCCATATGTAACTCTGTGTTGTTGTTTTTATCGCACTGCTTTGCTTTATCTTGGCCAGGTCGCAGTTGTAAATGAGAACTTGTTCTCAACTGGCTTACCTGGTTAAATAAAGGTCAAATAAAATAAAATACACCTCTGAACTTGTCCAATAAGAACACCGATTTCAGGGTCAGAGGTTAGGGGTCAGGTCTCACCACTGCTGTGTGTCCTGTGGGGGGGTTGGGATGAGGAGGAGGGAGGAACGCTAGGCTTCAGTCTACGAAGAGACGCATCGGGGGATTCCTGACCAATCCTCCTTGGCGGAGAGACGTCCGGCGAATCATGACGCTGCTTTCTGAGTGACAGGGGCTCTGGCGAATCACGTTGCGTCTTTTTGAACGACAGGGGCTCTGGTGAATCGTGTCGAACTCTCTGTTCCTCCTCCTCTGGGACTTCTTCATCAGCTGAGCAGAGAATCAATATTAGCACACACACCATGCAGCTGACAACACCTGAACGCACACACCCTTCCGCTGCTGTCTGTCTCACCTCCCATCACTCTCCATTTGTTGCTGGTCCTGAAGGCTTCCAGGCGTTTGATCTCATCTGGACGCTCGTCTATCACCTCAGCAACCTGACACACACAGCCACACAATACAGAGCGAGCGAGACAGGTGAGTAGATCAGAGCACTAGCTAGCCACTCTAAAGTGATGTTTTTGGTAAAGGTCACCCCAACTGAAAGTGACGGTAAAGTCAGCTAGTTATGTAGCTACTTAGCCAGTTAGCGTGTTGTAGCATTATTTACCACTGGCGCCTCCTCCTCTTCCTCCTCTTCGTTCTCCTTCTCCTCGCCGGTCAGCTGTTTCCAATCCACGTCGTCATCTACTATCTTCATCCTGCTCAGAGCGAGTAACAGAGGGGTTAGAAACTACTGCCAAATAACAAGTTAACACGTATATGCTAGCCAGCTAGTTAACTAGCTACTGGAGTTCGCCAACTGAGGTCAGAAACTACAGCGAAACAACGACCAGTTAACAGTTTGTTATGCTAACTAGCTAGCCAGCTAACGTTATCACAGTGTGGTAGGGCTAGCAGGCTAACGTTAGCTATCTGCCGGACTCTTTAACTCCATATTCCCCCGGTGTTTTCACCCCTACTCACCCCTTTCCTGTAGCTTTAATGCATCTCTTTTTAGCCTTCTTCTCCCTTGACTTCTTGGCGTCTCCATCTGCAGATAAATAACGTTTCAGATACTCGGCTTTGGAGAGAGACGCTGCTTTACTTTCGTTCGTGGACGCGGCCATTTTGAAAACAGTCCACCTGCGGTTCGGAACGGAGAGCACCGAGGGACAAACAGTGCAATGAACGTCACGAAATGCCGCGTTATCTATTTTGTTTTGTCAATGAAGAGTAGACTTCATAAATGTATACTATTTATCTCTTTCTCTCACATCAAAGGTCGGTCCCAGAAATACTATCAGATATGATTTAACTTTATGAAAGTCGATCTGTAATAAATAGCCTATTTTATCTCTACAGTCAAGTGTTCATCATAAAGACATCAGATAATCCTAATTTACAAAGATAAAACAAAGGAAAAGCAAGTAAGAACCTAGGAAAGTAAATGAAGGAATAGGCCTATCAGTGTTATAAGTATTGAATTATTTAAATTGGTTTCCTCCCATCAGATGCCTGTGCTGTGAGCTCACACTGCCCAAACAAACACAGCACACAGACTCCTCTCTGTCTGACGATAACAGAAAGGTGGCACAGACTCCTCTCTGTCTGACGATAACAGAAAGGTGGCACGGGTGAGAGAGAAGCAGTGTGTGTCCAGTCTGTTGTTATCATTATAAATAAACTAAGTCATGTGAGGATGCCAGGGTGGTATCAACCATGCTATCTGGACAAACCTGGTTCAACCAGAGAACAACAATGTCATGAAAATATGTTTCATCATGAAACAATGCTATCTGGGTTCAAATAGTATTTTTTTCTTTGTTTTTTTTCCTTTAAAATACTTTGAATACTGAGCAATTATTGAGTTAGCCTGGATGCATGAAATCCAGTACTATTTTATGCTCTAACATTCCACTATTTGTACTCTGTGTCATATGCCAATCATAACACATTACAAGGAATGGCAAGGAGTGGAATGATAACACAAACAGACTGATACCCAGGCTAGGGGAGGGGAGGAAGGAGAACAGACTGGTACCCAGGCTAGGGGAGGGGAGGAAGGAGAACAGACTGGTACCCAGGCTAGGGGAGGGGAGGAAGGAGTGCACCAACAGACTGGTACCCAGGCTAGGGGAGGGGAGGAAGGAGAACAGACTGGTTACCCCAGGCTAGGGGGAGGGGGATGGAAGGAGAACAGACTGGTACCCAGGCTAGGGGAGGGGGAGGAAGGAACAAACGACTGTACCCAGGCTAGGGGAGGGAGGAAGGGAGAACAGACTGGTACCCAGGCTAGGGGAGGGGAGGAAGGAGAACAGACTGGTACCCAGGCTAGGGGAGGGGAGGAAGGAGAACAGACTGGTACCCAGGCTAGGGGAGGGGAGGAAGGAGAACAGACTGGTACCCAGGCTAGGGGAGGGGAGGTAAGGAGAACAGACTGGTTAACCCAGGCTAGGGGAGGGGAGGAAGGAGTTGCACCAACAGACTGGTACCCAGGCTAGGGGAGGGGAGGAAGGAAAAACAGACTGGTACCCAAGGCTAGGGGAGGGGAGGGAAGGAAAACAGACTGGTACCCAGGCTAGGGGAGGGGAGGAAGGAGTGCACCAACAGACTGGTACCCAGGCTAGGGGAGGGGAGGAAGGAAAACAGACTGGTACCCAGGCTAGGGGAGGGGAGGAAGGATTTTAGAGATTACATTTGGCTGAATTTTTAATCTCAGCAACTCAGAACCAAATCTTGTGAGCACACTGGCAGCCCAGCCCCCTCAGTCACTTTAAGTTTTTGGAAAAAAATCTGAAAAACACTGAATTTTCACTTATTTGAATCATTATGCATGTTTTCTCTGTGCAGGCTACTAACATGAGAGAGAGAAGGGGACCACTGCCTTTAAAATGAGTCTCTCTGGAGAGAGAGAGGACCGGACCACTGCCTTTAAAATGAGTCTCTCTGGGGAGTGAGAGGAGGGGACCACTGCCTCTAAAATGAGTCTCTCTGGGGAGAGAGCGGAGGGGGGGTGAGGGGTGTAGTAAAGGCCCGGTGCAATATTTTTCTTCCATTAATTAATATATTTATTTTATTGTGATTTTTCAGCTGCAGCACACTTAGCCCCTTTACTTCCCATGGTGATGCCTCCAGCAGTGTGACATGTTTAAAGAAAATAGGTTTTACATTAGTACTGTGTTTGCCAATGATTGTTTACCATTGTACATTGAATCAAGTTATTCAGCTCTTCATTGCTATTGATACTACGTAATGCCACAAATTGTAAATAAACGAATTAGACAGAAGTTACACTTCCTGTGTTTGTCAGGCTCCATCAGGAGAGACCAGCCTCCCCTGTACCCAGCTGCCTGTCCATGTGTTTATCTAACAGGTCCCATCAGGAGAGACCAGCCTCCCCTGTACCCAGCTGTCCATGTGTTTATCTAACAGGTCCCATCAGGAGAGACCAGCCTCCCCTGTACCCAGCTGCCTGTCCATGTGTTTATCTAACAGGTCCCATCAGGAGAGACCAGCCTCCCCTGTACCCAGCTGCCTGTCCATGTGTTTATCTAACAGGTCCCATCAGGAGAGACCAGCCTCCCCTGTACCCAGCTGTCCATGTGTTTATCTAACAGGTCCCATCAGGAGAGACCAGCCTCCCCTGTACCCAGCTGTCTGTCCATGTGTTTATCTAACAGGTCCCATCAGGAGAGACCAGCCTCCCCTGTACCCAGCTGCCTGTCCATGTGGTTTATCTAACAGGTCCCATCAGGAGAGACCAGCCTCCCCTGTACCCAGCTGCCTGTCCATGTGTTTATCTAAACAGGTCCCATCAGGAGAGACCAGCCTCCCCTGTACCCAGCTGTCTGTCCATGTGTTTATCTAACAGGTCCCATCAGGAGAGACCAGCCTCCCCTGTACCCAGCTGCCTGTCCATGTGTTTATCTAACAGGTCCCATCAGGAGAGACCAGCCTCCCCTGTACCCAGCTGCCTGTCCATGTGTTTATCTAACAGGTCCCATCAGGAGAGACCAGCCTCCCCTGTACCCAGCTGCCTGTCCATGTGTTTATCTAACAGGTCCCATCAGGAGAGACCAGCCTCCCCTGTACCCAGCTGTCCATGTGTTATCTAACAGGTCCCCATCAGGAGAGACCAGCCTCCCCTGTACCCCAGCTGCCTGTCCATGTGTTTTATCTAACAGGTCCCATCAGGAGAGACCAGCCTCCCCTGTACCCAGCTGCCTGTCCATGTGTTTATCTAACAGGTCCCATCAGGAGAGACCAGCCTCCCCTGTACCCAGCTGTCTGTCCATGGTGTTTATCTAACAGGTCCATCAGGAGAGACCAGCCTCCCCTGTACCCAGCTGCCTGTCCATGTGTTTATCTAAACAGGTCCCATCAGGAGAGACCAGCCTCCCCTGTACCCAGCTGCCTGTCCATGTGTTTATCTAACAGGTCCCATCAGGAGAGACCAGCCTCCCCTGTACCCAGCTGCCTGTCCATGTGTTTATCTAACAGGTCCCATCAGGAGAGACCAGCCTCCCCTGTACCCAGCTGCCTGTCCATGTGTTTATCTAACAGGTCCCATCAGGAGAGACCAGCCTCCCCTGTACCCAGCTGCCTGTCCATGTGTTTATCTAAGGATAACTTGCTCATTCTGTTAACATCTGACTACAGAGTGATATGTTATTGCAATTTGTATTCTATGATATTTCAGATTTTAGATATGATAGTTGTTTGGATGTAGTGGACTACTTTAGTGTAGCTTAACTTCTTCCAGAGTGAAGTAATTGGTAGCTTGGTAAACTCTTTTCAGAGTAGCTTCCCCAACACTGGGGAATACATAAGTATTCAGACCCTTTACTCAGTACTTTGTTGAAGCACCTTTGGCAGCAATTACAGCCTCGGGTCTTCTTGGGTATGACGCTACAAGCTTGGCACACCTGTATTTGGGGAGTTTCTCCCATTCTTCTCTGCAGATCCTCTCAAGCTCTGTCAGGTTGGATGGGGAACGTCACTGCACAGCTATTTTCAGGTCTCTCCAGAGATGTTCGATCGGGCTGGCTCTGGCTGGGCCACTCAAGGACATTCAAAGACTTGTCCCGAAGCCACACCTGCGTTGTCTTGGCTGTGTGCTTAGGGTCGTTGTCCTGTTGGAAGGTGAACCTTCACCCCAGTCTGAGGTCTTGAGCGCTCTGGAGCAGGTTTTCATCAAGGATCTCTCTGTACTTTGCTCCGTTCATCTTTCCCTCGATCTTTACTAGTCTCCCTGCCGCTGAAAAACATCCCCACAGCATGATGCTGCCACCACCATGCTTCACCGTAGGGATGGTGCCAGGTTTCCTCCAGACGTGATGCTTGGCATTCAGGCCAAAGAGTTCAATCTTATTTTCATCAGACCAGAGAATCTTCTTTCTCATGGTCTGAGAGTCCTTTAGGTGCCTTTTGGCAAACTCCAAGTGGGCTGTCATGTGCCTTTTAATGAGGAGTGGCTTCCGTCTGTCCACTCTACCATAAAGGCCTGATTGGTGGAGTGCTGCAGAGATGGTTGTCCTTCTGGAAGTTTCTCCCATCTCCACAGAGGAACTCTGGAGCTCTGTCAGAGTGACCATCGGGTTCTTGGTCACCTCTCTGACCAAGGCCCTTCCCCGCCGATTGCTCAGTTTGGCCGGGTGGCCAGCTCTAGGAAGAGTCTTGGTGGTCCCAAACTTCTTCTATTTAAGAATGATGGAGGCCACTGTGTTCTTGGGGACCTTCAATGCTGCAGACATTTTTTGGTACCCTACTCCAGATCTGTGCCGACACAATCCTGTCTCGGAGCTCTACAGACAATTCCTTCGACCTCATAGCTTGGTTTTTGCTGACATGCACTGTCAACTGTGGGACCTTATATAGACGTGTGTGCCTTTCCAAATCATGTCCAATCAATTGAATTGTAGACTCCAATACTAAATGGCATGTTTGTCCTAAACTGCAGACATCATTCACAAGTGATAATACATCATTCACAAGTGATAATACATCATTCACAAGTGATAATACATCATTCACAAGTAATATTGTCACCCATCAGACTATTCTTAATTTAATGTTGTTTTTATATATACTAAATAACATACAGTACCAGTCAAAAGTTTGGACACACCTACTCATTCAAGGGTTTTTCTTTATTTTCATTGTAGAATAATAGTGAAGACAAAAAAACTATGAAATAACACATATGGAATCATGTAGTAACCAGAAAAGTGTTAAACAAATCAAAATATATTTTATATTTGAGATTCTTCAAAGTAGCCACTTTTTGCCTTGATGATAGCTTTGCACACTCTTGGCATTCTGTCAACCAGCTTCATGAGGTAGTCACCTGGAATGCATTTCAATTAACAGGTGTGCCTTGTTAGGGATAGGGGTGGTATACAGAAGATAGCCCTATTTGGTAAAAGACCAAGTCCATATTATGGCAAGAACATCTCAAATAAGCAAAGAGAAACAACAGTCCATCATTACTTTAAGACATGAAGGTCAGTCAATCCGGAACATTTCAATAACTTTGAACGTTTCTTCAAGTGCAGTCGCAAAAACTATCAAGCGCTGTGATGAAAACTGGCTCTCATGAGGACCGCCACAGGAAAGGAAGACCCAGAGTTACCTCTGCTGAAGAGGATAAGTTCATTAGAGTTAACTGCACCTCAGATTGCAGCCCAAATAAATGCTTCACAGAGTTCAAGTAACAGACACATCTCAACATCAACTGTTCAGAGGAGACTGCGTGAATCAGGCCTTCATGGTCAAATTGCTGCAAAGAAACTACTACTAAAGGACACCAATAATAAGAAGACTTGCTTGGGCCAAGAAACACGAGCAATGGACATTAGACCGGTGGAAATCTGTCCTCTGGTCTGATGAGTCCAAATTTGAGATTTTTGGTTCCAACCACAGTGTCTTTGTGAGACGAAGAGTAGGTGAACGGATGATCTCCACATGTGTGGTTCCCACCGTGAAGCATGGAGGAGGAGGTGTGATGGTGCTTTGCTGGTGACACTGTCTGTGATTTATTTAGAATTCAAGGCCCACTTAACCAGCATGGCTACCACAGCATTCTGCAGCGATACGCCATCCCATCTGGTTTGGGCTTAGTGGGACTATCATTTGTTTTTCAACAGGACAATGACCCAACACACCTCCAGGCTGTGTAAGGGCTATTTGACCAAGAAGGAGAGTGATGGAGTGCTGCATCAGATGACCTGGCCTCCACAATCACCCGACCTCAACCCAATTGAGATGGTTTGGGATGAGTTGGACTGCAGAGTGAAGGAAAAGCAGCCAACAAGTGCTCAGCATATGTGGGAACTCCTTCAAGACTGTTGGAAAATCATTCCAGGTGAAGCTGGTTGAGAGAATGCCAAGAGTGTGCAAAGCTGTCATCAAGGCAAAGGGTGGCTACTTTGAAGAATCTAAAATATATTTAGATTTGTTTAACACTTTTTTGGTTACTACATGATTCCATATGTGTTATTTCATAGTTTTGATGTCTTCACTATTATTCTACAATGTAGAAAATAGTCAAAATAAAGAAAAACCCTAGAATTTTATTTTTATTTGACCTTTATTTAACCAGGTAAGCCAGTTGAGAACAAGTTCTCATTTACAACTGCGACCTGGCCAAGATAAAGCAAAACAGTGCGATAAAAACAACAGAGTTACATATGGGGTAAACAAAACGTACAGTCAATAACACAATAGAAAATATATATACAGTGTGTGCAAATGTAGTAAGTTATGGAGGTAAGGCAATAAATAGGCCATAGTGCACAATAATTACAATTTATTATTAACACTGGAGTGATAGATGTGCAGAAGATGATGTGCAAATAGAGATACTGGGGTGCAAATGAGCAAAATAAATAACAATATGGGGATGAGGTAGTTGGGTGGGCTAATTACAGATGGGCTGTGTACAGGTGCAGTGATCGGTAAGATGCTCTGACAACTGATGCTTAAAGTTAGTGAGGGAGATAAGAGTCTCCAGCTTCAGAGATTTTTGCAATTCGTTCCAGTCATTGGCAGCAGAGAACTGGAAGGAATGGCGGCCAAAGGAGGTGTTGGCTTTGGGGATGACCAGTGAGATATACCTGCTAGAGCGCATACTACGGGTGGGTGTTGCTATGGTGACCAATGAGCTAAGATAAGGCGGGGATTTGCCTAGCAGTGATTTATGATTTATAGATGACCTGGAGCCAGTGGGTTTGGCAACAAATATGTAGTGAGGGCCAGCCAACGAGAGCGTACAGGTCACAATGGTGGGTAGTATATGGGGCTTTGGTGACAAAATGGAAGGCACTGTGATAGACTACATCCAATTTGCTGAGTAGAGTGTTGGAGGCTATTTTGTAAATTACATCGCCGAAGTCAAGGATCGGTAGGATAGTCAGTTTTACGAGGGCATGTGTGAAGGAGGCTTTGTTGCGAAATAGGAAGCAGATTCTAGATTTAATTTTGGATTGAGATGCTTAACGTGAGTCTGGAAGGAGAGTTTACGGTCTAACCAGACACCTAGGTATTTGTAGTTGTCCACATACTCTAGGTCAGACCCGCCGAGAGTAGTGATTCTAGTCGGGTGGGCGGGTGCCAGCAGCGTTCGATTGAAAAGCATGCATTTAGTTTTACTAGTGTTTAAGAGCAGTTGGAGGCTACGGAAGGAGTGTTGTATGGTGTTGAAGCTCATTTGGAGGTTTGTTAACACAGTGTCCAATGAAGGGCCAGATGTATACAAAATGGTGTAGTCTGCGTAGAGGTGGATCTGAGAGTCACCAGCAGCAAGAGCGACATCATTGAGGTGTGTCCAAAATGTTGACTTGTGCTGTGAAATTAGTTTTGATTTAGAATGGACCATTATCATGCACCTGTCTCGGAACAGGGGCAGGGTAAAAAAGAAATACATGTCATCTATGCACTTAAATAGCGAATGGAGGACGCTTTTCCCGTGGTTCATTTTCATGCCAGCCAGGTAGACTTAAAAAGGTGTGTGACCAACATCTGTATTCCCAGTCATGTGAAATCCATAGATTAGGGTCTAATTCATTTTTCAATTGACTGATTTCCATATTAACTGTAACTCAGTAAAATTGTTAAGTTCTTGTTTAGCGTATCAAAAAAATAAAAATGTATTTACAAAATGCATTCTATTTGGCAATACTGACTCCAACCCTATTCGATGCACAGAACGGATGTGGGTGGAGCGATGTCTACTACCAGGTGAAAAATATAAATGCCCAAAAGCTCTGACGAAGGTCAAGAGGTCGACGCGCAATGCCCAAAAGCTCTGACGAAGGTGAAGAGGTCGACGCGAAATGCCCAAAAGCTCTGACGAAGGTGAAGAGGTCGACGCGCACATTTGAATAAATAGTGATAGGCGCAAGAGCAGCGTGAGACGCTCTGAAGCTAATTGTTCCCACAAACCTGTGGGTTTATGAGTATTGAAGCTCAGTCACCAACCAAATTAACCCCACTGAATAATATGGACCAATGTAAATCTCCCAGCCATGTGTTCGTTCCTCTGAAAAGGTCCCAGACAACCCCCCACTACAAACAGACAACCAGTTTAATAAAAATAAATCGATAATTTTATTTCAGACAATATTTTCCAGTTTAACAATCACAATAGTTAAGACATAAAATATTTTTTAAAATAAAAATACTGCAACTTTAAAAATGCTTAAACAGCATTGCTTTAACCGTTTCATAATTCATACTTTGACCTTTATTTTTAAGTGTTCTGGGCTCCGGGCAGCCAGTGGGGTCTAGCTTCCAGTAGGTTCTAGGTTGACGTTCTAGGAGCGGTTCTTGCTGACCCAGTGGTACTTGTCCTGTCTGGGCCCAGTGAAGGAGGAGGCGGCTCTGTAGGGTCTGAATCCTTTAGGAGGCCGGAACTGGCTGCTGCACTGCTGCTGGGCAAACAGAGCTCCAGAGGGGGGGCCGTGAGGGGGGTAGCCGTCCCCAGGGAAGGCCTTCCTGTTGGGGTAAGCTGACCAGGCCGGAGGGGGTGGCACTGGAGCAAACTCACTGAACTGGAACAGAAAGAGTTACAGTATCTAAACCACATGATTGACGCCTGCAGCTCGTACGACGCCTGGACCACATCTGGTGCCCGACTGCAGTCGATGACGTGGCATGCAATGTCTGAGCAGGGGAACGCAACCATTATCTAAACCCCATCACCCCCACACATTATCTAAACCCCATCACCCCCACACATTATCTAAACCCCATCACCACACACATTATCTAAACCCCATCACCACACACATTATCTAAACCCCATCACCACACACATTATCTAAACCCCATCACCACACACATTATCTAAACCCCATCACCACACACATTATCTAAACCCCATCACACGTCCCTAGAGCCCTCCAACTCAACTCTGGACCTGGAAGCCAGTTCCACTGCATTTCTCATTGTTCCCCTCTAATCAGGGACTGGTTTAGCCCTGGGACACCAGGTGGGTGATATTAATGATCAGGTAGAACAGAAAACCAGCCGGCTCCGGACCTCGGAGGGTCAGAGTTGACAACCAGCCGGCTCCGGACCTCGGAGGGTCAGAGTTGACAACCAGCCGGCTCCGGACCTCGGAGGGTCAGAGTTGACAACCAGCCGGCTCCGGACCTCGGAGGGTCAGAGTTGACAACCAGCCGGCTCCGGACCTCCGGAGGGTCAGAGTTGACAACCAGCGGGCTCCGGACCTCGGAGGGTCAGAGTTGACAACCAGCGGGCTCCGGACCTCGGAGGGTCAGAGTTGACAACCCCTACTGTAGAGCTTCTTCCAGTGCTGGTTCGTTACGTCAGAGCGCTTAACATTAGTTGGTTAGTTACCTGGTAGACACGTCTAGAGCTCCATTTACCTGGTAGACACTGTTGGGGTTGCTGACTGTTGGGATGGTTTTGGGTTTTGGGTTGGGGGCAGGGCCCAGGGCAGGGCAGGGAGCTGATAGGCTGCTGCAGCTGCTACTCATGCTGGTGTCCCCGCCCTCATCAGAGGAAGATCCTGATTGGATCAAATCAAAGCTTTAAAACACTTTTCACAGTGAATGGATCCGATTATCTGGCCTGGGTTACCCCGGTGGGAGGAGTTTGCGCCGGGTGAAAAGTGGTTGTATTCGTTTTGGAACAGGGTTGCCTCCCAGGCGTGAGCCAGGTGCCCCGTTCAAAGCCCACGGCGAAGTCAGCTCAAAACAAAAGTGACGTAGCCGAGGCTAAATGAAGCATGTGGATAAGGAGTAGGATTCTGTGTTTAAGGGCAAAAGTGATTGATTTTGATAAAAACGCCAGTTGATGATCCCTGTCCTACAGTAAGACATACAAGAACAGTTAATTGGGAACTGCCTTCCAGTGAAAACTAGTTAGAAAACTAGTTGATGGAAAATAGATGTTTCTGAACGATGCACCATGCTGCCTTGACGACAACATGACCAAGCGGCACAGATTACTGTTCAATTTTGAGAAGGGCGCTCTTCCCTCAGCGCATTTAACCATTTACGTCACGCGCCATTGACCGGTTTCCCGCAGCTCAGCATAATTGAATCCACCCATACATGTTGCAGCACATTTGATAAATCAGGGTAAGAAATACAAATAGTTGTCTGAGAAACAGAAAACATGAGTAAAACAGAAAACCAGAGCACCTGATTGGATGTCGGAGGCGGCTCGCTCCACCGCATTATGTATGCGGCGGGAAAACTCCCCATCACCGTGGTGACAGCCACTTGCCAGCTCATACAAGAAGGGAACGCTGCGCTTCCGACCTACACAGGGAAACATCAAACACTGTCTGCCAAACAGTAAGCCCCTCCCCTGCCCAGTTAACAAGCAGAGAACAGAGGTTCAGCTGATGGACCTCCCGGGCCAGGTTAACAAGCAATGAGGTTCTAGCTGACGGACAAACTCCCCCGTGGTGACAGCCTAGTGATACACAGAGGGAAGTTCTGCTGAACTGACCCCTCCTCCTGGGCCCAGTTCACAGGACGGTTCACTGCACAACTGGACCCCTCCCCCTGGGCCCAGGTTAACAAGCAGAGGGAGGTTCTAGCTGATCTGGACCCCCTCCCCCTGGGCCCAGGTTAACAGGGAGGTTCTAGCTGAACTGGACCCCCTCCCCCTGGGCCCAGGGAGGTTCTAGCTGAACTGGACCCCCTCCCCCTGGGCCCAGGTTAACAGGGAGGTTCTAGCTGAACTGGACCAATACGTTTTTCAAACTTCTCCTTGGGGACCCCCAGACTTTTCACAATTATGTTGTAGCCCTGAACCAGCTGATCGGATTGAAGTAGTCAAAGGCTTGATATTAGTTTTATCAGGTGTGATAGCTGTAGAATAAATTAAATAGGGGGTCCCCGTGGAGAGGTTTAAAAAACCCTGGTCTAATAACCAAATGTCGGGCCGAGTTTCTAAGGCTGATGGTCGGGGGTCCGGAACATCATTATAAATAATTTGTACTCTGCAAATTGATCCAAGAAGCCCAAACAGATATTGTATTTGACAATCTCAAACCTCAGTTACATTTGTACATGATCACATAAGTCTATTTATGAGTGGAAATAGATTTCCTAAACAAGATCATTTTTTGAGGTGAATTCCTAGTGATTTTACAGTCTTCTGTCTAAAAACAAAAACTATTGGGGCCCCCCCAAAAAAATGTACATGCCAGTGGGCCGAATTTGGCACGCCAGTTGACGATCTCTGCCCGAGAGGCTACAGTAAGACATACCAGGACAGTAGTGGCTCAGTACAGCAGCGCTCACCTGCAGGACACCTCTCCCGGGTCGACCCAGATGGTAATCTCCCGTGGCAACCCCAGGTCCTCGTAACAGACAACGCTCCGTACACACGCCCTCTCCAACACAGGGTCCCTCAGCTGGGCTCGGTTCATACGCAGGCACCTAACGCACGAACAGTGGGTTACACACACACCTGAACACAAAGCCATTGAGACAAAACCATAGAGGAAATGTGTAGTGTGTGAAGGTACTGGGTACTGACCGGTAGGCCTGTCCCTTGACAGGTGTGTGTGGGTACTGACCGGTAGGCCTGTCCCTTGACAGGTGTGTGTGGGTACTGACCGGTAGGCCTGTCCCTTGACAGGTGTGTGTGGGTACTGACCGGTAGGTCTGTCCCTTGACAGGTGTGTGTGGGTACTGACCGGGTAGGTCTGTCCCTTGACAGGTGTGTGTGGGTACTGACCGGTAGGTCTGTCCCTTGACAGGTGTGTGTGGGTACTGACCGGGTAGGTCTGTCCCTTACAGGTGTGTGAGGGTACTGACCGGGTAGGTCTGTCCCTTGACAGGTGTGTGTGGGTACTGACCGGGTAGGTCTGTCCCTTACAGGTGTGTGTGGGTACTGACCGGGTAGGTCTGTCCCTTACAGGTGTGTGTGGGTACTGACCGGTAGGCCTGTCCCTTGACAGGTGTGTGTGGGTACCAGTGGGTCTTGTAGGTGTCAAACAGAGCCGAGGTGAGGGCAGCAGCAAACCTCTCTCTGCTCTCAGCATCTAAACTACCATGGCGCTTCGCCAGCCGAGCCACGAAGAACACAGCTGCTGCAATCTCCTCCTTCATTGTTAGAACGTCAAACAACCTAACCTTAACACAACCTTCAGCCAACTACCTTAACAACACAGACACTCCTTAGAGGGCTTAACTAAACTGACCTGCAGCTTTAGAAACCAACTGCCAATAAAATGTCTCAATAATAATAGGACTCTTCCCCAGCAAACAAATCTGCTTTTAAATGTTACCGTTCCTTTCTGAACTCTTCTAGATAACAGCCAGTCAGGTTAGGTCAGGTCGGGTCGGTTGGCAGCAGCAGTAGAACCTGCTGGGACACACACACCTCGTTTAAATCAGCTGTGTGTGAGGGAAGAGCACAGGTGATGTGAGTTCCAATGTGATTGCAGGTCCTGATTGATTGCCAGCAGCCTGTGGTTGTGCCTCTGAAAGAAGGGATCTGGTAACAAGACTCAGTACTATCTCATTCATTTATTTTAGTGTGATCTTAGGTTCAATGTATAACACACACACACATGGACAGATCGGCAGACAGACAGACAGACAGACAGGCAGGCAGGCAGGCAGAGACAGACAGACAGACAGACAGACAGACAGACAGACAGACAGACAGGCAGACAGATCGGCAGGCAGGCAGACAGATCGGCAGGCAGGCACACAGAGAGAGAGAGAAGGCAGACAGACAGACAGACAGATATGACAGGCAAGCAGGTAGGCAGACAGAAAGACAGACAGACAGACAGGCAGACAGACAGAAAGACAGGCAGACAGACAGGCAGACAGACAGACAGACAGACAGACAGACAGACAGACAGGCAGGCAGGCAGGCAGACAGACAGACAGACAGACAGACAGACAGACAGACAGACAGACAGAGACAAACAAGAAGGAAAGCAGACAGACAGACAGACAGACAGACAGACAGGCAGATAGACAGAGAGAGAGACAGACAGGCAGACAGAGAGACAGACAGACAGACAGACAGACAGGCAGACAGACAGGCAGACAGACAGAGAGAGAGACAGACAGGCAGACAGGCAGACAGACAGACAGAGACAAACAAGAAGGAAAGCAGACAGACAGACAGACAGACAGACAGGCAGACAGACAGAGAGAGAGACAGACAGGCAGACAGAGACATACAAGAAGGAAAGCAGACAGACAGACAGGCAGACAGACAGAGAGACAGGCAGACAGACAGAGAGAGAGACAGACAGACAGACAGACAGGCAGATAGACAGAGAGAGAGACAGACAGGCAGACAGAGAGACAGACAGACAGACAGACAGACAGACAGACAGGCAGACAGACAGACAGAGAGAGAGACAGACAGACAGACAGACAGACAGACAGGCAGACAGACAGAGAGAGAGAGAGAGAGACAGACAGACAGACAGACAGACAGACAGACAGACAGACAGGCAGACAGAGACAGACAAGAAGGAAAGCAGACAGACAGGCAGAGAGAGAGGCAGATAGTGTGTGTGTGTGTGTGTTTTAGTCACAGCATCTGATGATATTATGGGCTGTTTGCCGGCAAGTCTAGACATGACCAGGACACACACACAAACAGACAGTCACCATGGAAACACCAATGTAACAGACCTGAGGTCCATCGATCAGAGACATCAGCAGGACACACACCTGACCCCTGCACCTGGAGATATGACATGACTGGTACCTGACCCCTGCACCTGGAGATATGACATGACTGGTACCTGACCCCTGCACCTGGAGATATGACATGACTGGTACCTGACCCCTGCACCTGGAGATATGACATGACTGGTACCTGACCCCTGCACCTGGAGATATGACATGACTGGTACCTGACCCCTGCACCTGGAGATATGACATGACTGGTACCTGACCCCTGCACCTGGAGATATGACATGACTGGTACCTGACCCCTGCACCTGGAGATATGACATGACTGGTACCTGACCCCTGCACCTGGAGATATGACATGACTGGTACCTGACCCCTGCACCTGGAGATATGACATGACTGGTACCTGACCCCTGCACCTGGAGATATGACATGACTGGTACCTGACCCCTGCACCTGGAGATATGACATGACTGGTACCTGACCCCTGCACCTGGAGATATGACATGACTGGTACCTGACCCCTGCACCTGGAGATATGACATGACTGGTACCTGACCCCTGCACCTGGAGATATGACATGACTGGTACCTGACCCCTGCACCTGGAGATATGACATGACTGGTACCTGACCCCTGCACCTAGAGATATGACATGACTGGTACCTGACCCCTGCACCTGGAGATATGACATGACTGGTACCTGACCCCTGCACCTGGAGATATGACATGACTGGTACCTGACCCCTGCACCTGGAGATATGACATGACTGGTACCTGACCCCTGCACCTGGAGATATGACATGACTGGTACCTGACCCCTGCACCTGGAGATATGACATGACTGGTACCTGACCCCTGCACCTGGAGATATGACATGACTGGTACCTGACCCCTGCACCTGGAGATATGACATGACTGGTACCTGACCCCTGCACCTGGAGATATGACATGACTGGTACCTGACTATTTCACCTTCAGGTCCACATTACATAGTTAGAGGACAGATATACCTTGACATGGACCGCTCTGTCTATCAGAACCTTCACATGGACCACTCTGTCTATCAGAACCTTCACATGGACCACTCTGTCTATCAGAACCTTCACATGGACCGCTCTGTCTGTCAGAACCTTCACATGGACCACTCTGTCTGTCAGAACCTTCACATGGACCACTCTGTCTGTCAGAACCTTCACATGGACCACTCTGTCTATCAGAACCTTCATATGGACCACTCTGTCTGTCAGAACCTTCAAATGGACCACTCTGTCTGTCAGAACCTTCACATGGACCGCTCTGTCTGTCAGAACCTTCACATGGACCACTCTGTCTGTCAGAACCTTCACATGGACCACTCTGTCTGTCAGAACCTTCAAATGGACCACTCTGTCTGTCAGAACCTTCACATGGACCGCTCTGTCTGTCAGAACCTTCACATAGACCACTTTGTCTGTCAGAACCTTCACATGGACCTCTCTGTCTGTCAGAACCTTCACATGGACCGCTCTGTCTGTCAGAACCTTCACATGGACCACTCTGTCTGTCAGAACCTTCACATGGACCACTCTGTCTGTCAGAACCTTCACATGGACCACTCTGTCTATCAGAACCTTCATATGGACCACTCTGTCTGTCAGAACCTTCAAATGGACCACTCTGTCTGTCAGAACCTTCACATGGACCGCTCTGTCTGTCAGAACCTTCACATGGACCACTCTGTCTGTCAGAACCTTCACATGGACCACTCTGTCTGTCAGAACCTTCAAATGGACCACTCTGTCTGTCAGAACCTTCACATGGACCGCTCTGTCCTCTGTCTGTCAGAACCTTCACATGGACCACTCTGTCTGTCAGAACCTTCACATAGACCACTCTGTCTGTCAGAACCTCCACATGGACCACTCTGTCTGTCAGAACCTTCATATGGACCACTCTGTCTGTCAGAACCTTCACATAGACCACTCTGTCTGTCAGAACCTCCACATGGACCACTCTGTCTGTCAGAACCTTCACATAGACCACTCTGTCTGTCAGAACCTTCACATGGACCACTCTGTCTGTCAGAACCTTCACATGGACCACTCTGTCTGTCAGAACCTTCAAATGGACCACTCTGTCTGTCAGAACCTTCACATGGACCGCTCTGTCTGTCAGAACCTTCACATGGACCACTCTGTCTGTCAGAACCTTCAAATGGACCACTCTGTCTATCATAATAGCCTGCAGAGCTTTATTGTACTATCCAGGGGCCTGTTGCACAAAACTAGGATAAGGGATTAAGCCAGGATATCTTGGTGATCCTGGCTCAATTGATCCGTAATCCGGTTGCACTAAAGATGGATAGGGGGCAGGAGGATATGTTATGGTATAAATTACCATGGAGATTTATTCTGTGGAGCTAGCCTGCTCCAGACCAGGATCTATTTAATCTCATCCCTACTGTCAGTCAGCAGTCACCACAAATGGAAACCAATAGTTATTTCACTGCTCACTATACATTGTTATCACATATAACTAGACCCACTGTCATTATTTAAACGTTTGTGATCATTAATTTCAATGATTTTGGATAAAAAATGATTTTTAGATGATGTTGCTATCATTAGATAATTTACAGTTTCCCATAGACTATAAGGCTATATATAAAATGATAGAATATTAGGGCCACAGAGGGGAAAAAAAACACAAGTCATAATATTGTAACCAGTTGTTTTAAAGGAGGACAGTTGTTAAAATGACAGATGTGGGGCATTTCGTGAAATTGTACTTCAGTATGGTTTCATAAACAAAGACATGCTGATGTGCCAGAATATTAAGTATCACATTGTCATAAGTATCAAAACTGTAAAAACAATATGTAGCTTTTCTGCAGAAAGAACCAGCCTCATAAATTTATGACTTTATCCTTTTTCTTCAGTGTGGCCCTAGTACTCTGTCATATAAACAAATACACATTCCATATGAATATAAAAACACAATGTGTAACATTATGTTCCTTTATTGAATAAGGACAAAACAAAGCAGGTAAACCATCAGCTCCTTTCGAAACTGAAGTCACAGTGACTCTACAAGATGGAAAGCACAGAATCCAAGCATATTATACAAAATGATACATACACATTCAAAGGTCTGTATATAACACACCCTGCATGTCTGCACACTAAAATAAATGCAGGACAAATCCATACACATCAACTGAACAGACAAATGAATGGCTGCAGTAGCCTCCCTGCAGCCTTGTATTACACACAGTATACCGCACAAACATCATAAGAGGCCAAATTCGTAAAAAAACGAACCCAAAAAAACCCAAATTCCTCTGCCACCGCAGGACATATTTAACCAAAATTGAAAGCACACATACTAACTAAAATAATTCAACACATATTGGTCCCTCAGCAGCCGACCACTGTCGTCATCAGGGAAGATTGCCGGATTGTC